CAGTAGAGTGCAGGGGTCATGTGAGTTGTGGTCGAGAGAGGATCGGCAGGGGGTGTGTTCGAATGCGGGGTGCATGGAATCACGTTTGCCTTAGTTATCGGGTGAGAGCACGGGTCAGGTAGGTTCGGGTGAGATGAGATCCACATAGCTCACCATCCAGTGTCGTGTGGTGGCTCATTGTTTATGGCAAATACGGGGTTGAAGCTGACGTTGCTGACAGAACCTCGCGTAACAGCCGCCTCAGCGTTTCGTGAAACTCTGGGTAGGGCCATGGTCCATAGAAACGGGGGCGGTGCCCAGACGCATAAGTCCGTGTCAATGCTGAGAATACTGACCCTGCTATGTGACTGGGATGACGGTGGGTGTGAAGGCGGGGTCATTTGGTGACCGCTGGGTTTCTCGGCGATTTGGGACAGCCGGTTGGGCCATACGTGGCTTTTCGCTGACGAAGAGCCAGAGTCAGCCAGCGAAGAACCATTGGTCCCATTCCACGCAGAAAATCGGGTATGGTGACGATGAATCGTATCAATGACCGGACGGCAAGGTAGAAAAGATACAGTATGATATATACTTTTGGTTTAAACTACTGTTTTAAATCTTGTAAAAGACTACTACTGCTCTAAGTTTGTCTTATAATATGTACAGATCGATTTCTAGTGAAACCTCGGACATCTTGGGTCAGTCAAAGGCGGGCTCAGAATGGCGATCTCGACCGTCAGTAGCCATTGTTAGTAGCGCAACCTTCCGGAGACTTTACCGCCGATCCAGCAGCACCTGGGGCCGTCTGGCTCAGCCCCGTTGTAGAAGGCGCCCCTTATTTGGCGCCGTATTCGCATTGAGCTGGTGGTCGGGTCAGCCGCCTTTGTCGGCTTGAACTGCATTTATAATGGTATTCAAAGCAGGTATCGAGCATGCAGCGCTGGGCCGACCGTACGAAGTCACCGGACGCGCCAGACGAGGGTCCCGTCTGGGAAGAGGAGCCGCTGTTTGTTTTGAGCATGCACGGCTTGGGTGAACGCCTTTCTGGGGCCATTCGTGCATCGGAGGAAGGCGCATCACTACAAGTCCATGGTTGGCTCCGCAAGGGCAACTTGAACGCATAATGGCAATCTGGGTATCGTTGACGGACAGATGTGTGACGCAAGTTCAGCCCTCGCCCCAGAAGTCAGCTGGTCACTGATAGTCGCAGTCATGAGAAGAGGGCAATAAAGCACTTGAGAGCCTATCTATGGATCACAAAGCACCTTGAAGCGCGTGGCTCGACTTCAAGGAAATCGCTTTGGCGCCCCATAAATTAAGCCCGTATTACCGAACAATCAAATGATGTCATCTGATCGGGACGGGCATTCTCTTTAGTGCTTTCGCGCCAGACGTGTTCCATTCGCGCCGATACGTGACGCCTGGTATCAGTATGACCTGACAGTAAGTCGAAGGCTGTATGCACGGTCCGTACAGTGTAAGGCGGGATGTTGCCAGCCTTCCATGCCGCCGCGCCGTGGCTGATCCTGCCGTCGGAGCGGGCTGCGTCAGGGGACGCGTCTGATATGTCCGCTGCTGGATCAATAACTAATCTAGCCTGGAGTGCCACTCCATTAAGTGACAGAAATGACGCTGAAATGCCGTTTTATTAGTACTAACCCCAGTGTAGAACCCCCAGTAGGATTATCTCTCAAATTAGACGTTTATACGTGATGTATGCATGACGATTTGTGCAGGACACATGCATTGACAGTCCAGTCTATGAAAGAACTGTACCCACAGTAAAGACCGTGCAATATGCCTCAACTCACGTCCATTTTGGGAGCCATATCAGGCCAATTTTGAGGGCTGGCCGGCTGGACAAAATGCATCGTCGATTTGAGCATGGGAAACTTTCGTTGCAGAGCTCGACCAGCCTTGGTTGGCGTTGACAGGCTGTGGTCCGTACCTCAGGTCGCAGGCAGACCTTGGTGGCGTTGACGGGCTGCGGTCCGTACCTCAGGTCGCAGGCAGACCTTGGTGGCGTTGACGGGCTGCGGTCCGTACCTCAGGTCGCAGGCAGACCTTGGTGGCGTTGACGGGCTGCGGTCCGTACCTCAGGTCGCAGGCAGACCTGGGTGACGTTGACGAGGCTGTGTTCCGTGCCGCAGGTCACAGGCAGACCTGGGTGACGCTGACGGGGCTGTGTTCCGTGCCGCAGGTCACAGGTGGTGCGGGAGGGGTGCATCACAGTGGGCGTACCTCTCGCAGCAGCTGGGCCACCGTGTGGGACCACGTCTGCCACTCGCTGCTACCCTACCTCATCGAGCTGATCCCCAACAGCGCCAAGGTTCGTCAGCGACCGCCCCGACCGTGCCGGGCATGGGGCCGTAAGCGATAGAACTGGAGACAAACGCGTGCCATGTTTGTGCTGAATGTTCAAATCCAGATATAAGGACACAAGGCAGAATCGAGGGGCGTCTCGCTGGGCCTATATCACACACTCGGCAGCGTGGCACTTCTTGTTTAGGTTCCGGCGCGCGTGTCATCAAGTGCTGGCCCACATATCCGTCAACGTCAGCCGCCCTCCAACCTGCACTCGCAGGCCGAGTGTCGCCTCCCGCCCCGGCCAGGTGACGCCCCACTCACACGCCGAGTGTCGTGGATCTACCCTTCACTCCCCCCACTCCCCCCCCCCTCTCTCCAGGTGACGCCTCCACTCACACGCCCGAGTGTCTGGATCTACCCTTCACTCCCCCCCCCACCTCTCTCCAGGTGACGCCTCCACTCACACGCCGAGTGTCGTGATCTACCCTTCACTCCCCCCCCCCCCCCTCTCTCCAGGTGACGCCTCCACTCACACGCCGAGTGTCGTAGATACCTCTCCCCTCCCCCCCCTCTCCAGGTGACGCCTCCACTCACACGCCGATGTCGTAGATCTACCCTTCACTCCCCCCCCTCCCAGCTGATGCCTCTACAACGCAAGCCAAGTGTTGCCCCCCCCCCCCCCCCCCCGCCAGGTGTTGCCTCCCTCGCAGGTGAGTGTTGCAGACCCACCTCTCACCTCATCCCCACCTCACCCTCACCTTGTCGCCTCACCCCCTCCTCCTCTTCCTGCAGTGATGTCGACCTCGGGCGTGGTGGCGATCCGCTTCATCATCCAGAACACGCACTACGCCAAGCTGGTGCCGGTCGTGACCGACCAGATGACGACAAGGCGGCGAGATCCGGCGCGCCTGCAGCGAGTCCTCGAGCAGATGATCACCAGCTGGCCCACCCAGGTGCTGGAGAAGCACGTGGCCGCCGTGCAGGAGGCGATACGGCGCGGCGTCGGCGACGCGGACAACGAAGTGCGCGCCATCATCCGCAGGTGGGAGCGCGGGGCCGGGGAGGGACGGCGTCCACGTGCTGCTGACGCCCACGGCGGCGTGCTTTGAGGCGCTGGAAATGTTGTTTGCACTGACGGTCGCCTGTTGCCAATTTTCCGCCTGAATTGTGTCGTTTTCGCGTGGAGTGAGCCTTCTGGGCGGGCTGGTGGTCTTGATGTATTGGCTTCATCTTAAATATCTTTTTTTTTAACCGGAGCGGGTCTGGTTTGGGTCAGACGCCTGCGTCATGCGGCCACCGCTTCGGGCGCTGGTCATGCGGGGCCGCAACCGCTCTGCCTCAGCCCGTCTGGACCGGGGCACACCCCGCCTTGTGCCTGTGGACCAGTCGGGGCGTGTGGCCAGGGCGTACTGGGGATTCGCCGACCACTTCAAGGAGCAGGCGGACTCGCTGCTCAACTCGCTGGACGCGCAGCACAAGAAGACGCTAGCCGGGCGAGATGAGCAAGTCTGGCAGCAACAACTCGCTCACTGCGCCGGGTGAGTGAACGCCGGAATAGAGCTGAAGCCACGTCGCGCGCGATGGGGAAGTGGTGTAACGTAGGGAGATATGTGCTGCCACGCCAGCGGCGTAACGTCACCACTCTCGGACAACTGTAGTGTGATGGCCTGTGCTGACCAGAGCCGGCCTGTCCTCGGCAGTGTCATGTCGCAGCAGCGCGCTGGGCTCGCGCTCGCGCACCTCGTCCCGTCCGGCAGCCAGGAGAACCTCAGCCGGACGGGCTGATCTCGCGCCGCTCGGCCATCCCGCTGGCCAGCCCGGCCGGCCGACACGAGCGCGGTACGGTGGCACGGCCGCGGCCGGCGGCGACGCTGCCATGTGGCGTCACGGTCCCCAGCGGCCGCCGGCGGTCGGGACAAGCTCCCGTGTTGTTTCTGTCTGGCCGTGCTGATTCGGGCTGATCGATTGCTGGTGCGCAGGGCTCGCCGGCCATTGCGGTCGTTGTGTGTCCGCTGCTGCTCGCCGCTGCTTCTAGCGAGCCGCGCGAGGCTCCTTGTTCACGCAGCCCCTATGGTGAGCAGCTCCGCCTGTCTGTCCCGTCTGCCGCGTCCCCACACCCCCGGCTCAGTCGCCACTCCCCCGTTCGAGGGACAGACAGAGTTAGAGAGGGAGAGAGAAAGAGAGCGCGCGTGTCAGCGGTGTCCGCGGCCCGCAGGCGAGTCGCCGTCGCAGTCGTCGCTCCGCTCCACGTCGGCCATCGACCTGCAGGCGGCGCCGGGCCCGCGCGCGCGCCAGTACGCCGCCGCACAGCGCATGCGCGTCGGCTCCGGCGTCAGTCTGCGTGAGTACCGCGGGGCCCGGCCGCCGCCGGCGGACGCGGGGCCGACAGACTCTGGAGTGTTGACCTCGAGGGTGGAGGCCCAGAGGGGGTCGGGAGGAGGGGCGAGCTCAGAGGCGGTCGCGAGGTGATCCCGGGCTCAGAGGGTCGCGAAGAGAGCTCGGGCTCTGAGTGGTCGGGAGGAATGCTCGGGCTTAGATAAAGTCTGGAGAAGAGCCCGAGATCAGAGGGGGTGGGGAGGAAAGCCCAGACTCAGAGTGGTCGGGAGGAGAGCCCGGGCTCAGAGGGGGTCGGGAGGAGAGTCCGGGCTCAGATAGAGTCAGGAGGAGAGCCCGAGGTCAGAGTGGTCGGGAGGAGAGCCCGGGCACAGATGGGATCGGGAGGAGAACCCTGGCTCCGGCCCGTTGGGTGGGAGATGTGGCCGGAGTCCGGCTCCCCGCTGCTGCAGAGGGCGGCGTCATATTGTGCAGCCCGACCAAAGCAATCTCGCGAAATTTCTGAGCGACAGCCAGCAGGGAGGCCACCCTGTGCTGGCGCCGTGCGCATCCTTATCTGCTGATTCTATCCGCCTCAATCGAGATGCTGCCGTCCTTGCCCCAATTCGATAAAGCGGCGGCCTTGTGTCGCCTGAGCACATGAGTTTCGTAAACATGTTGTGATGCGCACTTGGCTTTAGACGGAATTGGCCGTTTGCTCTCGTTTACCCCGTTTACTTTTTTTGTGAAGATCGAGGGTCCACGTGAGCCGTACCGATCTTTTTAATAAAGATGTTGAGTGTCGCTGGCCGTCCTGGGTGCCGTGTACAATCCATGCATCTGTTTCGCTCGCTGGCCGGGATTGTTAGGCGACAGCGGCAAGCAAGGACGGTGGGTGCGCGAAACGTGTATGGCATGGTGTATCGAATAGTTCATGTGAGCTGGTGTCGCGTACGGCTTGCACGCAACGTTACAAGAGCGCTCATGTTTGTGTCTGCCCGGCGTAGGAGGATGATGCGGGCCTTGGGATGTTGCGACTATCCGCCCAATTAGTACCCATCCGGCATTGCAAGGTACGCGCTCTGCATGAGCTACCAGTGCTTGGCACCTCCAGCCGTTTTCGGCTGGCTCCTTGCACTCGCAGAACACAGGTTGTCGTAGCTATGCTGTAGCTGTAGTGCGATGTGGCGACACGCTTCTGGAGGAATTCCCTGGGCACGACGCCTGGCCTGAACGTCCGAGCCACTCGTTGTCACTGGTACTGCTGACTTGACCGGCTGGACCGGCTGCCTCCGCCTGTTCAGTGTCGTGTCGTCTCGCTTGCGTCCGCCGGGGCGAGCCGGCGGCGACGTCAACGCGCGCGCCTGACCGCGACGCGGCGCGTCTGTCCACCAGCTCGGCCGCGTAGGCTGGTCGGCCGGCCACGCCGCCGTCCGCGCGGTTCCGCCCTCCTGGTCGGCGCCTCGCCGGACGCCGCCCGCACCGCCCCGCACCCGCTTCCGCGCTCCGGCGTGACGCAGAGTCAGCGTGAGTACCGGGCCGCGCTGATCGGCGGCACCCCGCGGTCTGATATCACGCAGAGAGCTCGCGTCCCGGCGTGACGCAGTCAGCGTGAGTACCGGGCCGCGCTGATCGGCCGCACCCCGCGCGCTGATGTCGCACAAACAGCTCCAGGCCAGGCCCCGCCTGTCCTGAGGCTCAAGAGTCCCAGTCCGCACGTAGGGTTTCATCGATGCACAGGTACCGTTATGGCCACATAGGTCGTTTCAGCACGATTCGTGTACTCTGTGAGTGCTCCTCGCGCGTTGGCAGCATGCCAGGCTGGCTGTGCTCAGTCGGGACTCTCGGTGTGAGCCAGAGCCGCGTGTTGGAGCATGCCGTGTCGGGTACGTTTTACCTGTCAGTGCATTTTGTCGGTTGGCGCCTTGCGCCACCCGAAGGCTCGTTTTCCCCTTACTTTAGTCGGGCATGGAAAGTAAGTTTCCGGAATAGTACAGCAGACGACTCCGTATTTGTGGCTCCATGCCGCAAGCATGTTGCCAAGTGGGAAGAACGCCGATGTATCCAGACGGCGGACGCTGTGTGTGCCGCATCTCACCTTTGGTGCGTCTCCGTACCCCCTGGTCTGACCTGACCTGACCTCGGCAGCGGGCAGCCGGAGCGGCTCGCCATCCTCCCGCTCAGCTACGCCACCTACACGACGGCGGCGGCGTCCCCGGTCGACTCGCAGGACGCTGGGCCGGCGGCGGCGGCGCTCCGGCATACCACGCTCGACGGGCACCTCGCGCGAGCTCGTCGCCGCAACCGGGCGGCCGCCACCGGGCCGGCGCCTGCCGCACTGCGCGCCAGGTGAGCGTCGAGACTGGAGCTAGAGAGACTGGAGGCAGGGCGGCCAGCGGCGGGCGGCGGAGGGGAGGCTGGGTGTCAGCAGCGGACGGCGGAGGGGAGGCTGGGTGGCAGCGCCGGGCGGCGGAGGGGGAGGAGCCAGGGTGACAGCGGCGGAGAGGTGGCTGGGTGTCAGCAGCGGGCGGCGAGGGAGGCTGGGTGTCAGCAACGACGGCGGAGGAGGCTGGGTGTTATCACGGGCGGCGGAGGGAGGCTGGTTGTCAGCAGCGGACGGCGGAGGGAAGGCTGGGTGTCAGCGCGCGGCGGAGGGGAGCCGATGACAGCGCCGGGCGGCGGAGGAGGTTGGGTGTCAGCAGCGGGCGGCGGAGGGAGGCTGGTGTCAGCATCGGGCGGCGGAGGAGCTGGGATGTCACCACGGCGGCGGAGGAGAGGCCAGGGTGACAGCGCCGGGCGGCGGGGGGAGTTGGGTGTCAGCAGCGGTGGCGTAGGGAGGCTGGGGTCAGCAGCGGGCGGCGGAGGAGGCTGGTGTCTCCAACGGGCGGCGGGCGGCGGAGGGGAGGCGAGCTGTCAGCGGCAGGCGGTGGGCGGCAGGGTGGGGGGGGGGGGGGGCAGGATGTCAGTGGCGGACGGCGAGGGGAGACGGGACGTTAGCTGGCGGTGGCCGCTGCCCAGGTGCGGGCGCCGTGCAGTCTCGGGACTGGGCTGCCGCCAAGCGGACTGGTGGAGCGTGCTGTGTCCGCGGCACAGCGATGGCCGTCAGGCATGACGCCGAGTACAGCACTCGACGGTCAGCTTACGGCTGTGGGCTGATTGTTCAGACAGCCTGTTGCTCACCGGATGCCCCAATTGGCTCAATTTGTATGCTGCAGTCACGTGTGCATGGGGTCTGCGACCCTCAGTGGCCGTGCCGAAGGCCGGTTTTTCCATCAGCGGCCTCGGGCGGATTGGGATGAGGCACGTCTGATGACTCTGTTTATGTATTGGGTCTGCACGGCGTGGGCTGCTAGGCTTTTTGATATTCCGACGCGACTTCACGCCTTCGAAAGACGTAGGTAGTTCTAAAATGCCATTCACCCCGCCTGGTAAATACCGTTAGCCGGCGTCCGCTGTAGTCGGCCTGGGTGTGGCGCGCTGGATGACCGACCTGCCGCCCCCCGGCTGGAGGTGTGACCCGTCCTCTGTCGGCAGGAGGCCGTCGACAGGCGGCTGGGCCGGCCTGGGTGGCACCGGTCGGCCCGGCATGAGTCCACAAGATCCTGCAGCAGAGCCGCGACGAGCCGAGTCTGCGCTGGCCGACGCGCTGGTGAGGCTCGCCCGCTGCCTCCGCCCGCCGGCCCGGCCGGGTCCCGGCTGACCGCCACCCGGCCGAGGACGGACTCTGGGCCCTGCGGCGTCTGTTTGACAACTGTTACGGAGGTTGCGCCTCGCGAGCTGGCCGGCAGAGGCGTCGTTGGGGAACGCTCTGTACCTGCGTCCTCGGTCAGGGGCGCACCATGTACGTCTGTCACAGCGGTGCTGTGGCTATGTTCTGTCACAAATCCTGTCAAAGCCCAGCACTCAGCTGCAGAGCATTTCTCTCGTCGCACTGTTGGGGGCATCACGGTTCCTGTCCTTGGTTGTGATGAAACGGTCCGCTTGTCAGTCTCTTGGCCCTGGCCCTGTCCCTGTTCCCTGTCCCTGTCTGTCTGTCGCTTTCCCTGTCCCTGTCCGTGTCCGTGTCCGTTTCCGTGTCCGTGTCCGTGTCCGTGTCCGGTCCCAGTCCATTTTCCCCTCCCCCGTTCCCCGCTGACTGACGGGCGGCCATGTGTCCGCAGGCGACGACGCGCTCCCGGCCGGCCCGCCCCTGTGACGACCGTTCGGACGAGAGCGAGACGAGCAGCGTCTGCTCGGAGCGCTCTTACGACTCGGCACACCGACGCGATGTGAGTAGCGCGTACTCCCCTCGCTCTCTCCGCCCGCTGGCGCTACCCTCACCCGGGCCCCATCTCTGCATGTTCTCTCCGCCCCACTCGCTCCCATTGCTTCCGTTTCTCTCGTCCGGGCTCGCCATGCTCTCACTCTCACCTCTCTCGCTCTCGCCGTCCCCCACGCGCTCTCCCTCGTCTCGCTGTCCGTGTCGTTTGTGCGCGCTCCGAGCTCTCCCCGTGCTGGCGGCGGGGCGTCTCGCGCAGAGTCGGACCGGCCGCGGCCGATCGATCACTGGACCTCTGAGAGGCAGCTGGGCGGTGCTGACCTCCCTCTGTCCTTCCGTCCAGCTCTGCCTCGTGCTGACCTTATTAAGGGACGGGAGGGGAGGGGCGATCGACCAGGCCGTGCTGGGCTTCCCGGGCTCGGCTTGCTCCGCACCGAATGTCTGTCTGGACTGGGGCTTCCAGAGCCGGCGGACGGTTGGTTGTTGTTATGGAGGCGAGTTGCTAGTCTTAACGCGATGGTTTTTGTTTTTGTCGTCGGGTTGTGCCGTTTGCTGAGCCTGACTCCGTCGGGCATTAGCGCCTGCTGATGTGAGCATCTTACATCGTGCAATGTTTTGCGTCTGAATGTGTCGCCACCCATCCGCGTGCTCTTACCGGCTCACCCACCGTTTGTAGAGGAAGTCCTCGCCCGCTGTATTGCGTGCTCTGGCCGATCTCGGCCGGACCGAAACGCTGCGTCTCTCGTATGACGCGGGTGTGTCCGTTGTCGGTGTGTCGTGTGTCGGAGGTCCGCTGTCGGGAGTCTGTGTGCCGACGCCTGACCGTGTCTCGTCTGCCTCCCGGCGCGGCGTCGGCAGTACGCCGGCGGCTGGTCCGGGGTGCCTTACGGCCAGCAGTCCAACCGACTGCGCAGCGTGCGCGAGCCCAGCGGACGGGTACGTACCCCTGCCTCGGACCCCCGGCCCCCAGTCCGCCGACCCCCGCCTCTTTCAGCGTGGCGGGACCCGCCTGCGTTGGGACAGGTCACAGAACGTCACACCGTGAGACAACTCGCCAGGCTCATCGCGTTGTCAGTGGCTGCTGCGTACGGCGTGTCATGTGCCGACAGCACCATCTCAGCGGATCGTGAAGTCTGCCGTCGCGCTCGCATGTTGACCCGCGCCGCGATGCCCCGTGCTCCCCATGACCAGAGCGCCGGCCCTCCGCGGACCCGGCGAGCGGTACGAGACGCGCGCGCACGGGCGGCGAGCCGGCCAGCTCGGCTCATCCCCGGCCGTCTCCGCCCCGCAGGACGTCAGTGAAGTGATCAACCTGATCGCGTCGACCGAGTGGTCGGACCGCAAGGAGGGCCTGCTTTCGTTCCGCACCGTGCTGCGGTCTAACCGCATGCTGACCGCCTCCGAGCTGCATCGCGTCACCGAGCTCTTCACCAAGATGTTCATGGACACGCACACCAAGGTGGCTCCCAGCGGCCGGCCGCGCGTCTGGGGCGCACGCGCTGACGGGTCGAGCTGGCGCAGTTGGTGTTCAGGGAAGTGGAAGTGACGAGCGTGCCTTTGTGAACAGCATGCTCCCCTGTACTGAGACGCACAAAGTGGAGTTTTTTTCGTTCATTTTGCCGTTTCTCCCGTCTTAAGTTATTTGTGGCCACGTCGGTGTTTTGCCCATACTTCATTCCCGTTCCGTTACCATGCTGCTGTTAATGTCAGATCACTTGTCTTCCTTGTCCATGCCTTCCTCCCCCGTGCCGCGTGGGCCCTGCGCATCATCATGCGGTCTGTGTGCCGTCGCAGGTGTTCAGCATCTTCCTGGAGGCGGTGCAGGAGCTGGTGGTGCAGCACCACGACGACCTGGCCGATTGGCTGTACATCCTGATCACGCGGCTGCTGAACAAGCTGGGCGCCGACCTGCTCGGCTCGGTGGTGCAGAAGCTGGAGCGCACGCTCGACACAGTCAGGTGGGCGGCGCTCTGTGTGTTCGCACGGCCCGGCGCGGCCCGGCACGGCCCTGTGCGGCCCGGTGCGGCCCTGTGCGGCCCGGCGCGGCCCGGTGCGGCCCGACGCGGCCCGGCACGGCCCTGTGCGGCCGGCGGCGGCGTGCTGCGGCTGCTTGGTGGTTTGGCCGCCGCCAGGGGTGGTGGAAACGGCAGGGATGTGGTGTGATGCGCGGCAGAGCGTCTGCGTCGTCGGTGGATCGTTATGCTGCTCAGTGGCATCAGCTTCAACCCGCCACCATTGTGATAAATTGGGCGTCGTACTGATTTGGGGACGGACAATCTTCTTCGGCCAAAAGCATGCTTGCACAACTCACCGATGACACTCAGTGTGCTTCGCCGATGCTGCTGCATGACAACTGCCACGCCCGGAGACTGGAGACAGCCAGACAGACATATACAGTGACAGCTCGGGTCTGACGTGGACCGGCGGTCGCAGGGTGTCATTTCCGGCCGGCATGCAGCTGCGCTGCCTGTGCCGCTTCCTGCTGGACCAGACGCAGACGCCCAACACGAAAGTGAAGGCGGCCACGCTGCGGTACCTGCGCGCCCTGCTCGAGAGCATGGACCCGGCGGAGTTCGCTGTCGACGCTGACCTGCCGCTGGCCGTCACCAAGGTACGGGCTGGTCGCGAGGCGCGGACACTGCTGCTGGCCGTCGCCGAGGCACGGGCTGGTCGCTGGGTGTCGCTGAGGCGCGGAAACTGCTGCTGACTGCCGATAGGGTACGGAGCGTGGCAGGGACTGTCGCTAACGTACGGGATGTGACAGGGGCTGTCGGTAGGGTACGGAATATGACAGGGACTGTCGCTAGGATACGGAATATGACCGGGATTGTCGCTATGGTACGGGACTTCACAGAGACTGTCGTTAGGGTATGGGACATGACAGGAACTTTCGCTAGGGTACGGGGCATGACGGGCTATCGCTAGGGTACGGGATGGGACAGCGGCTGTCGCTAGGGTACGGGGCATGACAGGGGCTATCGCTGGGGTACGGGATGTGACAGGGGCTGTCGCTAGGGTACGGGGCTTGACAGGGGCTATCGCTAGGGTACGAGATGTGACAGGGGCTGCCGCTAGGGTACGGGAAAGTGACACCGGCATTTCGGCAGTTCCACCTTGCGGAGCATTTCAGCATTTCGGTAGCTCCACATTTAACCACCAGGAGCACTGGCGGCTCCTCGTGGTTAAATGTGTCACTGGGCTGGGTGGTGTACAGCGCCCTGACCGGAGTGGCTTACTGTCGGCAGATCATCGGCTGGACGAGCGACCAGAAGTCGGTGGAGACACGCAACGGTGCCAAAGCAGTGATCGTAGCCATGTTCGACCTGAACACAGCCGAGTTCACTATGCTTCTGTCGCAGCTATCCAAGATGTACCAGGTGAGGTGGAACGGCTGGGGCTACGGGCCAGTAGTATTCTCCCTCCCAAGTAACAGAGGGTGGTCGGCATGTCCACTGATGGCAGCGTTTGACTCACCACGGCTGGCTGCTGTCAAGCCTCAGGCTCTACGTCGTCGCGCACCCCGTACCTGCGAACGTCCACGGCTTGCCAAGCCTCAGATTCTGTCCGCGTAATCCGCGCTTGCGAACGTTTGCGCCGCCCCACCTCTGACGCGGCTGCCTCGGCCAGGACACGGCGTCCGACATCATGCAGCAGCACATGCGGCGGCGGGCCAGCGTGGACCAATCGGCGGCGCTGATGCGCGCCCGCTCGCCCTGCTCGTCCAATGGTGGCTCGCCGGGCCCGCGCGGTCCCGCGCGGCCGCGCCTGGCGCCCAGCGACGCGGAGAACCTCCATCCGGAGGAGATTAGCAGGTGGGCGGCTGGAGCGGAGGGCGCCGGCCTGGGCGCGTTTCGGAAGGGCGTGCTTATGTCATCGCCCATCCTGCTCAGCTTGGGGTATGTAAATATTTGATGCACCCTGAAGCAGTAATACACAAACAATGGTTAGCGGGAAAGCTGACTATCAGCCAGTTGTGTTGGGCTGGTTGGGTTAGCGGTCCTCTCGGTTAGCCTCGCCCACCTATTGTTCGCGTGGACCACCTGTAGCCACCAGCAGAGGCAGGGAGCAGCAGGTGCTGTCCCCGCCGAATTGGCCACTTCCACGCCTCTCATTGGTATTGAGCGTTTGCCCGCAGGTATGCGGCCCCAGCCCCATCCAGGCTATGGAGGCCCGCCGACTCGCCGGTCTCGTACCGCCTCCTCTCGCCCTCGTCACCCCTGGCCCTTTGTATTGCTGACCCGGGGTCTTGCACCGCCTCCTCTCACCCTTCGCCACCCTGGCTCTCCGTATCGCTGACCCGAAGTCTTGTACTGCCCCCTCTCACGACCCGCCACCCCTGACCCTCCGTACCGCTAACCCGGGGTCATGTACCGCCTCCCCCCACCTTTCGCCACCCTCAACTCTCTGTACTGCCCAGATCGCTGCGCCGCGGTCCGGCCGAGATACCGGGCGGCGGCCTGGACGGCCCGGACGGTACGAAGCGAGAGCGCGACTCGACGTCGCAGGACTCGGGTATCAGCCAGATGTCGCTGCCGCTGGAGCGACGCGGCTCGCCGGCCGGCCGGCCGCCCGCCGCCGGCGAGCCGCCGGCCGACGAGCAGGCGCTCGTGGCGTCGGTGCGCGCCGAGCTGAACGTGGAGCGGCCGCCGGAGCCGGCGGCGCCCCGAGCGGCGCGCCGCCCTCATCACCGTCTGCCGGCTGGCGAAGCTGGGCTCCGAGCGGCTCTGGAGCGAGCACTTCAGGTGAGAAGGCGGCACCCGCACCCGCCGGCATCCGGACCGAGGCGGTCCACAGCTGGCTGGGGAACTGAAAACGGACCGAGGCGGTCCACAGCTGGCTGGGAAGCTGAGGACGGACTTAGGCCGTCCACGGCTGGCTGGGGAGCCGGGGACGGACCGAGGCGGTCCACAGCTGGCCGGGGAGCCGGGGACGGACCGAGGCGGTCCACAGCTGGCCGGGGAGCCGGGGACGGACCGAGGCGGTCCACAGCTGGCCGGAGAGCCGGGGACGGACCGAGGCGGTCCACAGCTGGCCGGGGAGCTGGGGACGGACCGAGGCGGTCCACAGCTGGCCGGGGAGCTGGGGACGGACCGAGGCGGTCCACAGCTGGCTGGGAAGCCGGGGACGGACCGAGGCGGTCCACAGCTGGCCGGGGAGCTGGGGACGGACCGAGGCGGTCCACAGCTGGCCGAGGGAGCTGGGGACGGACCGAGGCGGTCCACAGCTGGCCGGGGAGCCCGGGGACGGACCGAGGCGGTCCACAGCTGGCTGAAAGCCGGGACAGACCGAGGCCGTCAGTAGCTGGCTGGGGAGCCGGGCAGGTGCGGCTGATGGAGGGACGGCCGTACAGTTTTCATGCGTCGTTTGGTGCCTTTAACGCAGTATTGTTGCAAGTCATTTCTTGAGCGCCGCGTGGCCCGCATTAGGTGTAAGCAGCCATCACGAGTTGCAATCTTTGGAAGCCGGTTGTGATAAATGTGTGCTTTTTTGAGCTACGTGGCGTGGTTCGGTCCTTTCTCCATGCGAGGTCCTGGCTGTTCGCTGTCTTTTTCCCACCACTGCTCGTCCTTTACAATCCCGTTCTGTTCTCCCTAATATTCACCTTGGTTGCGTCTAGCTATAGTGCGTTGTGCTGTCTACTGTGTTCAGAATGCCCGCAATGTGTCCCTTCGTCGTACTGTCCTGTCTCATCCGGTCTTTGGCTCCGACCGCCCCGGCCACGTCCCTGACCGCCGTCTGACGACAGGTATCTGCTGCGGCCGCTGCTGGACACGCTGCGCGACGGCGCCGGGCCGGCGCGCGAGCTCGTGCTCTCGGCCTTCACCGAGATGCTGCGTCGCGACTGCGTGGCGCCGCTCTTCCACCCGTACATCGAGCTGGTGTTCGTGCGCGTGCTGGACGCGCACTGTGAGCCGAGCGAGCGGGACGTGGTGCGCGCTGCCGAGCAGTGCGCCGCCGCCATGGCCGGGCGCCTGCCGCCCGACAGCGTGGTGCGCGTGCTGAACGGCCTGGTGCAGACGGGCCGCTACCCGGTCAACCAGGCGGCCATCAAGACTCTGACGCGTCTGGTGGAGCAGCACAACCGCGAGCTAGTGCTCGGCTTCCTGCCCGAGATCATGCCCAGCCTGCTGAAGGTGACGCGGGTGGGGGTGGGCGCTGGAAGGGGACGGAAGGACGAGGGGCTGATGGGCCGGGTGTGCTGGGTGGGTGTGGCGTTACCTATGGCGTGGTCTTGTTTTCATTTGCCCGGTGCCTGGTCGAGTTTATGCGCGCAGTGTGGGCTTGGGCTTGTACCGTTCGCTCCAGTTGCTGTTGTCTGGCCTCACGCTGACCTTCAGCAGCGGGCTGTCATTGGGCGGATGGTCTGCACTCTTCTGTCAGACACCGAGTCTATATTCCCCGCTGCCCACTGACGGTGCCTCCCGTCGCAGGCGTACGACAACAGCGAGTCGTCGGTGCGCAAGGCGGCCGTGTTCTGCATGGTCACCATCCACACGCTGTGCGGCGAGGAGGCCATGCAGCCCCACCTCGCCTCCCTCAACGCCACCAAGATGAAGCTGCTCAGCCTGTACATCAAGCGGTCTCAGGGCTCGCTCGAGTCGCCCACCGGCCAGCCCGGCTCGCCCAAGTAGCGGCTGGCCGCCGCGCCGGGGCGCGCATGGCACGGGTCAGCGCGCGGCGAGCGCACGTCTGCCATAGCGGGTATGAGCGGAGGTACGGCAGCCGGTGTGCGCTGGAGCGCCGGGCGGCCGCTGGTCGCCGCAGCAGCGTCGGCGAGGCGCCGGCGTGGTGTTGTCATTCCGAAGGCGCTTCGTGCGCGTGAACTGACGTACATTCCTGGGAGGACATTCCCGGCGGAGATTTGTTACACGGCTGTGTGTTCTAACTCACACATGACACCGTGGGCCCACTCGACTGTGTGTTCTAACCCACACATGACACATGGGGGCCCTTCGAGAGCCACACGGCGTGTCGGTGTGTGGCGGGAGCGTTCCATTCCACGCATGATAGCTTGGCACCGCGTCGCCGTCCGCTCCAGCGATGACTGACGAGACATGTGCGTGTGCTGGGGCAGGCGCTGACCCGTTGTTCGTAGTAGGCGGGTGTCTGCGTGCGAGGCAGCTTCCTGTGCAGCTGGGAACTGCTGGCTTACTCGTTAACGTTGCTGTGCGACTTTGCCACGGCCTGACACGCTTTCGATGATCCCGTAATGCTGGACAGGTGGAAGTTATGCGAATGGAAGAAGGAAGTGTGGATAGCGAACACGAACGTGTGAGCGCGCCATTGTGAGTATGCAATCCGACGGTGGTGTTTCGGACAGTGTTTGAGAGAGGCGCAGGATGGGGCGGGAGTTATGACGGTGGCGCGCCCTCAACTGACTGTGATGGCACCCGTCCAGGCGCGCGGCGCGGTCGTGCTGGCCGAGGGCGCCGACGCACAGGGTGGCCTTGACATATCAGCTGACAGGGTCAGTTGATGCGCCGGCTCGGTGTGAGGGGTCGTGCCCGACCCCGACAGGCAGCATTGTCGCAGACGTGGAGCGCTACATCTGCTGATCGAAGCACTCGATCGTTATGACTACCCCTTTTCAATGAGCTAAGCTATGTAGCGGACCCGAATGGACTAATAATAAACACCGAATGCCCACTCGCCGGTTTCTCCCATGAGTGGGAAGCAGTCGACAGTTTTGGCTGTGCAGCGCTTTGGACCGTTGACGAACGCTCCGGACGTACATCGCCCCTCGCCCGCCGAGAGCAAACACACGGATACGCCCAGCTAAGCCGGTGAGAGGCGCGATGGAAATGCAAGTTTGGAGTATTATGAAAAGAGATCAGTATAACAAACTGTCGGCGGGCCTCAGCCGTGCTCCGCGCAGGTTAGCCGGCCACGAATCGCAGAGAAAGAGGGAGATACGCGGCGGATCGGGCAGATAAGTGGTGCACATTTGCAAAGCAGCTCGAGTTATTTGCTAACCGAGAGCATTTCATAAGAGATCGTCACCTATAATTATTTGGCCCGCCGGTTTACACGGTCCTCACTGTCTAAAGAGCGAGACCCGCATCGATAATAGAACTAGTAAAGTTGTAATGCTACATTTGCTTAAAAGCTTGCCATACTTCCGTGATTATATGCAAACGATGACGACGCATGAGAACCTCCCCCACACAAGCGCGCGCGCACGTACGCACGCACGCGCACACCATAATCAAACGATGTTGAGATTAGAGGACGCTTTAACAGACACCCTCATGCCCTCTGAGCTTTCCCGCGATATCGATAGGGACGGATTTCCAGGTGACGGCCGCAACGCAGGCAGCTTGCGCCTCGCCATCCCGGTTCGGATTCTGTGAGATCCCGTTTGTGGTGCTGCCTAGTGCTTCTTCGTCGAGTGAGCTGCCGCTAACTGAAGTACTGTCATTACCCAGTTGTGGTGTCAACCAGGACGATCCAGCATTGGCCTTGTGCTCAGAACTAGGCTGGTACGGGTATGACGAACTGAAATTAACAATATATGTTAAACTGAGACGTCGCCTGAGGTGCTGCAGCGCTAAGTTGTTCCGTTGCCCAGGAGAAATTGCAGAATCCATGCTGCGTCTTAGAGTCCATTCTTCGTGAATTTTGCCAACATTGCTAAGGACCTATTCCGGGGACGCCACAGCATGAAGTGACTCGAAATCTGTGCTCCGGATTTCACATGCCCCGCGGTTAAGAGGTCACATGCCTCAACGGCGGTCATTCCCGCGAACAGGAGAGATCGGAGGGGGCGCCCGCCGTCGCCTACGGGCTAGAACATCGCTCGACAGACGGTGCCGGCGAGGGGCGCGGCGCCTCCATACAGCGATGCCCTGAACCCCAGCAATGCCTGTGCGGTAACGCAGGCAGCGGGGGGGGGGGGGGGGGCACAGGAGGCACGTGCTCCCGCTATGGGTTCCGCGGGGCCCTTCGGCGCCCTCGGAACCTACGATTAAGGGCCCGGAAGGCCGGCCGGAGGTCGCATCTAGAGACCTCGGTCCGTAGGGCCGGGCACTCCAATGCCAGTCAGAAGGCCCTGCGCACTGGTCAAGGTCCCACTGAGTCGACACGAGCCTATATTTCGTCGGGGCCCTACAGAGCCTTACAGGGGCCCTGTGTTGGCAAGGGCCCCGAGTCGGCCACAGGCAGTGACTGAGGAGGGCCGAAGAGGGTCCGATGATCAAGGGCCCGATTGCAGGGTCTAAGGGCACAAACGGCTAGTCGGAGTCTGATTCGGAGGCCCCAGCCTATGAAGGCGGACTCTCAAATAACGGCCAGGGACCCTGTGCACCGATCGGGGACCCCTTAAATCGATATGGGCCCATGTCTCGGTCAGGTACCACCAGTACCGCATAGTTGGCTCCGTGTCGGTATGGTCCTGAGGACCCACCTCCCAATCAAATAATCCCGCGGCAGTGATCCCGGGACACATAATGCCCAATCCTGGGGCGGTGGTCCCGGGGCAAATAATGCCCGATCCTGGGGCAGTGATCTCAGATGTTAGTAACAGATGGCTGACACCCATAGGGACCCCTGAGATAGAGCGCTCCTTTACTTCGGCCAGAAGTCACGAACAGCGAACAGTGGGCTCCCAATTGATTTGAGTCCTGGGGGCCCATTTCCCAAGAAGGGACAATGCCGGGCGGGCGATTTACATCAGTCGGGACTTCTATATCGCTCAGGGGCCCACAGTGCCCAACAGGGTATCTGTATCAACAAAGGGCCTCGAATCGGCCAGGGGAAGATTTGCGAGCAGGGACGGGGACGGGAGCCCGAATGACTAAGGGCCTCCCGCGTTGGTTGGGGCCTCCTGACGATTTAATGAAACATTTGATGAGTGGTCATGCTGAGGCAATGAAGGGTGCTGTGCCAGTCAGGGCCCCCGTACCAAACGTTGGTCCCTCCGACCCAACTGCAGAATGGGCCCGTTAAGCCGAACGCGGATCTATGTGCCAATTATTTGACCACCTGCGGCTGTCAGGGATGTTGTTGCGTCAATGGTAGTTCATACGTCGGTCCGGGGTCAACTGCGCGGGTCAGAAGGCCCCCGCGTCAGGGAGTGGACCAATGCGATATGATGCATCCCTCTACGGGGTTCCGGATCGGCCAGAGGATCGCGCAACAACGACCATCGCAAAATGATGTCTCTAAATTCCTTTCAAAATCAAGCCGTACGGTTCAAAGATTACACTGAGCAAATCATTTTTTTTACAATTGTGTGGTTGTCCTGCGGACAGCTTAACATCTACAGTAGCAAGACAAACAGAAATTTTAGCTTTACTCTTCCAATTTCATCACCAGATTCCAGGACCATTTCGCGGTGCTGTACAAGCCAACCTCTTATTATCATCAATCTAAAAATGACATAGGTGAAATGTGCACCCGGAATATCTCTATATGTGCTATTTTGTGTCCTAAAGCGCTCAAAGGTACTTCTTTCAAATGCATCATCTTTTTCGTCCACCTGTAGGCTACAGCCTAGTGTTGGTCGCGGGGCCGATGCTGCGTGGCCTGAGGAGGCTGCAACGCCTGACGTCGAGGTTTTTGTAAGATTTGCGAGCGGGCACGTTCAAACCTGCGTACAAAATTTGTACCACCAATCGATTCTGACTGAATGCTGAACATTTGCAGACAAGCATGGCTTAATCAAGGCAATAAAAGATGTTGACCAATTTTTAGCTATGATCTATATTCACATGGTCCCTAGTATATCTGTAAAATCCAGAAAAAAAACTCTGGCAAAGTTTCTTCGTCCTATATCGGTTTAAAACAGTCCACCAGACTATCGTAAGACGAAAAGCACCATCGATTTATGTCATGCAGTCATTTAATGCATGACTTCTTCGGTTCGTTGAATTTAAAAACGTCAGGCAGAATTGATCTTGCGGTTTTTTTTTACCTCCACTTCAGTTATAAAAGGTAACAATAGGTAATATATGCTATATGTTATAACGTATAGCAATATATATATATATATATATATATATATATAATATATATATGTGTTTTTTTTTACTAACAGCGGGCCCTTTGTCAACCCTGTGCCCCCCCTTGCCAAGTCTCTGGTTGCGCTCCTGGACCCGTGCCACCCAAGGTGCTACTGGTCGTTGTCCGGCCGAACGCCCACGCCGTGCCGAAACCCACAGCGCTTCATGCCGAAACGCGCAGCGTACCGCACCATGGTGGATGAAATGTTTTGCATAACTAAATTTTTAAGAAGTCTTTTTTACGAGCGCCGCACCACCGTTTTGCACCGTCATTGCAGCATCTCGGCTTAATATCATTCCGGCAACTTTTCACCGCTTTACAAGTATCATTCACCAATTATTGTCAGTTCGGTATCAAGCCGAACTGTCATTTGGACACCAAACTGAACAGTCATTGGTGTTCCGTACAAATCTGCCTTTACACGGTTTCCTTTTTTGTGAAATGTCGGCTTTGCTGTCCTGTCTCTGAGCTTCTGTTTTTTCTCCATTTCTCGGTCCCCTGTCGAGTTTCCCTTTAGATTTGTTTTGTTTAGTTTACCGGCCCTGCGGCCCCGGCCCTACGGCCAGCCCGGAAACTGCGCCACATGTGTCGTGTCCTGTGCGGGGCCGCGCCGCCCGGTAACCGGGGCAGTTGTCTCGCGAGCGACGCCAAGGAGAGGACGCGTATGTCCTCTTCCTGGCCCGATATTCAAACCTCAAAATATAGCAGCAGCCGACGGATGCGTGTTGAACGATCGAACGATACCGAACAATTGGTGTTCAATTCACGTCCGCATAAGCCGGAGGGGGGGGGGGGGGGGGCGTGCCCTGCGTCCCATAGCCCAGTTCCGTACAATTCTGTACTTATGGTATAGGATTTCGCAAATGTCGGATGAAACCCTTTCTTGCGCTTAACCCAACAGCAAATTATCAAGACAGGGTCTCCTCGTGGGTTGGTGCAGCCCAGGCGAAGGCTCGTATCACACTAAGCATTCATATTTTTTAGAACCGTTTCTCCACCCGCCAGCCCAGAAACGCGTCTTGGAACGCACTACATACCAGGGCGGAAGCGGTAGCGCTGAGCCCGTGCTCATAAAGAAACCGCCGCAAGTAAGAATGAGCCAGTTTTGGGCAGGGGAATAGGGCACTAGCTTCTCAAAAGTGTTGCCTAGTAGGTATCGAAGCATACTATAAGTATACCAGAATTGGAATCAAATCTAGATTTGGAATGCTTGTACCAAAAGTTGGCAGTACTGAGCTGGCGGCATCTTTGGCGTAGTTGTTGCGATTCCATGAAATTGCGTTCATCAGTCGTAAAACGCTCAATGTTTGGCGAAGTACGGTGAAGTACGACCTTGGGTGCGGTGGTGGAGCTAAAAGCTGCGGGGTCGGGTCGTTTTGAAGCAGTTTCACAGGCATCTAGGTAAGACTGATATATGTTGTTCTGTGCCCACTCATATTACGGCTTATTTTACACATTATGACTCGCTTGGATCATTCTGCATCATTGATCGGTGACCCAGTTAATATGCAGTGAGTCAGTTATGAACAGTGTGACATGCATATATAGGCATACATATATGGTATAATATATAGGCATGCATATATAGGCTACTGGCTGTTGAGCGCTGCATGATGAGCAGTTGTTCAGGGTGTTCTAAGTTATATGAATGTAGCAGCTGAAAATTGTATTGTTCAGCTGAAATAGGAATATATCAGCCATTTTTATCTTATTAATGATTGGTCTTTCAGTATTCAACACATGCAAACATAGCAATACACTGTTATCTTTACAAATGTTATCACTTGCAAGATAGGCCAAGTACCAATTATACTGATTCATTACTTTTGCAAGATAATGTTTGAATCTGTCATTGGGAAATAAATGGCAATGGAAGATAATTGATACATTTCTTATGATGTTATCTTATGCATGTGTCTGTTATGATACTTCTCTGAGGGAATTTATCAGCCTGCTTAGGGTAGGTCATTTGATGTAAAAATGGTTGAATTTTGTAGTATGATTCAGCTTGCTTGGAGTTGCAAGGTTCTGAGCTTTCCAGATCAGGAGTATAAGCATATGTCAATAATTAGTGGGCTGTGGTGAGGGCTTGTCTATCTCATGCCTTACCCCTAAGCAGTCTATGTTTCGCATTGACATTGGAACGCTTCATTTTGACCAAGTGGTATTTTCATTTTGTAGTTTTGTTTCATTTATCCAATAGTCCAGCTACTGCCATCAAATGATGCCCTGAGTAGGTGGCCATTGTGCAATGTTTAAATTTTGCTTTAGCTTTTGTACCATTCAAGCAACAATATGAGAAGGGCAAACCAATATTTATTGGTACATGTCAACATTGTGTGGGGGAGGGGGGGGGATGACTTCATCACAAAATGCAATTGCCAGATGCACTTGTCTGCAACCCAAGTCTTTTATTACATGACCTGTTCTTGGCAAATGCACCCAGTGTAACCAGCAAATATTGTAGTTGGCAGGTGCAATGGTTTAAATTGTTCCTGGAATTTGCGGTTGGATGGTAGGATAAAATACCTTTGTGAGTTATGCCAAATCTTATGCAATTAGACCATACAGGATACAGGACTTGCATCTGAGTTTATTTTGCAGAATTATGCCCCTATTCCCAAGACTTGAGAAACATGCATCCATTATGGCAGACTATCCACAGGGTCCAGTGGGTGGGAAGGAGAGATTCTGCAGAGTTCAAGATCATCAGTTGTAGTTGTGACACACAATTTGCCCATGAGCCATTAACAGATAGCTAGCACATTTGCTGTTCAAAGACCATGGCAGACACAGTGCCTTGCATTCATATGGCAGTAACAGCTTTCTGCGGACGTGTGCGACGCACGAGTCGAGTCGATCGATACATGATACAGTTCGGCATAACATGACGGGCCAACACATACACTACCCCAGCCTCCGACCGGCACATCGGTTGATGACCAGGACCTCAGCATTGGAAAGGCGACGGCACCGGCGACACGGTGGCAGTCCGTTTATGCTGGTTCTACTTCAGTAACTCGTGCGGGCGCCTCTTTTGAAGAAACCGTCGGTTCCTTACTGCGCACTATCCCGTGGTGTCTGAGACGGCGCCGTCGGCGGGACAGCCGGAGCGTCGATGGACGGCAGGCAGCAGCAATGTCGCCGTGTCATCGCTGCTGTGCTGGCCGTGAGGCGGCACTGTCAGCCCTGCGCAGCAGTGGTTGCCAGCACCACAACTTAAACCCCTAGCGCAGTGCCTGGTCCTAATTCCGGCTGCGCTGGGTATGGCCGGCTTTGGGCGGCTACTGTCGCGATGGTTTCATACGTCGGACGCAATAAAGCTATGCGCCTTCTGCTACAGGTTGTTGCCTGTAGCCCGGTAGCTGCATTACACCTATCAAGCATACTTTATAGATATTAAAACACATCGGGTATATTTCTTGTGCTAACTCTCAAACATATTCCACAGCACAGTGGCAACATGTGTAGGATATATATATATATATATATATATATATATATATATATATATATATATATATATATATATATCTATGGTCAATAGTGTAATTGGCAATCAGTGGCCGTATTCACTCTGTTTCTTTCTCAACTTTGCTGAAAAGAGTTGGCGGAGACAAGATTCGGTCCCACGCTTAGCCATCGCATCGTGGGTATGAGTCTACGCTTTACCCAATAGCTCGAAAAGGAGCGCCATGGCGCACTTACTGACCTCGAAATTGAAAGAAAATTGTTCAAGCTTCATTTAAATGTACTTTGTATGCATATGTATGTTCAAAATTAAGAAAATCAGTGACCTGCAAAGTTGCATTTTAACACGCGATCGAGTGGGGGACCCCCCGAAAGTTTTTCCGGAAGGTTTCCAAACAGCGCAGCGTAGCCGTTTTGCACAGCCGTGGACAGTTGAATAGCGGATCGTTTGACATGAACAATTTAGATGTACTTTGTACGGTCAATGACCCATGGTAGGTCGAAGTCAGGCCATGCTTTCAGCGAAGGCAGTTTCGAGGGAATCGCTCAATCTTATCTAATTACGGAGTGTTGGACTAAGCCAGACATCTCTGAGATACTTTTTACGCAACACAACAATTGAATAAAAAAATTACATTGGCCTATGGTCAGGTATGAAGGTCACGCCAATGTTAAAACCAGCCTGCTTTATTTCTCTAGGGCTTGCTGTATGGGGCATTCCTGATGCTTATTTCATAGTTATTGATAACAGGAACGGCATTATACACCTTACATGAACTTCTTAAAGGTTGGAATAGGTCACTGACATAGAACGACCAAGGTCAACATTTTGTTTTTGGGAACCTACTGCCTAGCGTAATCTTCGTCGCTTATTCAATTGCAAAACCCAATTAATTCTTGTATGATTTTGTTCATGAATTTCAGAAGGTCAAACAAGGTCACCGACCTTATATGAACATGTGAACTTTTGCTTAGAACAGTTATCCAGGTTCTGAAGCCCTTTGGAAACCAACCTGTAATTTTACCTTGTTTGACCTTGTTTCACCCCAAGGTCATGACCTAGAAGCCTCGAACTGTGGTCTAGGTGAGTTCACGTACAGGTCAACACATCCCGTAAATTTAGTGTCTCTAGCTCTCTTAGTTCCTGATATTTCAGGGGGGGGGGGGGCATATTGATTCACCCCGCCCGAGCGAAGGGTATCCAAGCGGCTACTCGGGCTCGTGTTGACATGGGACTATATCGGGTGATCATGAAATGTGCGCCGTTGCTGCCACATCTTATACTAGATTTTGGACCCTGGCTAGTACCGTATTCAGAGCTGGGGGTTGTTGGGAGTGACAAGTGGGGTGTTGGTTTGTGATGTCCAATGTTGTGGGGGATTGAAGAGTGCGTCTGGGGGATAGGGGGAAGTGTGTGTGTGTGTGTGTGTGCGTGTGCATGTGCGTGTGCGTGTGCGTGTGCATGTGGCATGTGCGTGTGCGTGTGCGTGTGCGTGTGCGTGTGTTTCGCAGGTCGTATAAATGAGGGTTCAGCTGTTGTTAGTATAAAAGGGCAGGTAGTCGTTATCCGTCTAGACTAGGCCCGAGCATCCCGGGGTCAAGTGGGTTGTCTGCTACAAGCAGTTGTTTCGCGATCTGTCATTAACACGGTGCCTATCCAGGTGTCCGCTGAACTTCGGACCGGCTGTGAAAATGGACAAGAGCAAATTTCTTGCACTCGCCCGGAAATTCAATTGTGTTTTATTTGAAGGTAAGTTCTTGTGTTGGATTCCTCAATTCACTGAAAGGTGCAGATTCGGCTTGGCGGTGAATTTTTCACAATGCCTGTATGTCTGTCTGTCACAGTACCTATATGTGGACATTCGTGTGCATTAGGTGCCTCATGGTCGGCTCACAGCTCATTACGTTGTTTTATTGTGCCTAGATCAGCCATTTTATATTGATCTTGCTTTCAGTGAAGATGAAGAATGAATACATGGCTTAAATATTTATATTATGAGGTATTGGCTGATAACAGTTGTAACAAATTTGTTTCAAAAACATGAAGGCACCCATGCAGTATGGTCCAGGAGAAATAAATCATGTTTGTATAATCTGCGGGTTTTAGGGAATATATGCCCCACTGCATGAGGTGTTGCACCCCCACCACCCAAGCAGATACCAAGGATAAAGTAGATGAAATCCAGAAAGAACACTATTCTCCACAATTTTGTAAAGAGGTAAGGCCAATTTTCTCTGCTCAGCCCCATTTACTTACCCTGCGGAACTTCCCTGCTAGATTGTCTATCCATCAGCCGGCAGCCCTCCTCCGGGCAGCATAACTCAGTTGTCCCATTGTCCACTAGATAATGGGCTGCGCTCCGGCACGCTGCCGCTGGTGGTGGCTGGCCACACAGTGGGCCTGGTGCGTGCCGAGCTGCTGCCGCTGGTCGGCGCTGCATCCATCTTCCACGTGTCCGAGAGCGCCGTCACGCTGGACCCCGTGCTGGACACGCCCGCCGCCCGCTCAGAGGCCATGGCCCAGCTGCTGGAGCGGTGGCGCGACCAGGAGGACCTGGTGGCGCTCAGAGGCTGGCGTAATGAGGTGGGTGGCGCGACCAGGAGGGCCTGGTGGCGCTCAGAGAGTGGCGTAATGAGGTGGGTGGCGCGACCAGGAGGGCCTGGTGGCGCTCAGAGGCTGGCGTAATGAGGTGGGTGGTGCTCATCACTTGGTGCTGGGGAGTGGGTGGGCATGGAGAGCGGGTGAGACGGGCCCGCTGGTATGTTGGGCAGCGCTACGGCAGCCCGATGCGGCGGACGTCAGCGTCAAGCCCCGTTGATTGCGCGGGCAAACGTGAGCTCACAAACACTTATGCAAGCTCCAGCGTCGAATCGTTGGCAAAGAGACCCATGTTTTGATGAGCCCGGGCGTCGGGTGAAGGGCTGCGAGTGCGCGACCTGCTTGCTCTGTGCTTTGTCTGCCCGGGTCGACTTCTACGGTTTTGTTTCCATTTCAGTGCTACGACGTGCGGGTCTCCTTTTCCAGTCAGCCTCTGCTAAAAATGGAACGTTCTGCCACCAGTGAGTTAACGCACTGCAAACCGACCCTTGGACTATCATGTCTTTTGACATTATTTGTACGGTAAACATGTTCATCGAAATGGTCCCAGCGTCCGATGTGCGTCCAGCTAGCAGCGCTGGTACAGGTTACTCTTACGACAGCTTACCACCCCATCCTAGCTTAGCCCAAACTTCCTCAAGGACATACGCTCCCTTCTCTCTCCTGACGCGCCGTCCGTGAAACGCCGCGAAGGGCGCGCAGCGCCGGGTGACCGCGCGTGTCGTCTGCCGGCTCTCCTGCGCGGGCGCTGACGCGGCGCGCCGGCCGGTGTGGCAGGCGTGTTCGGCATCCGACAGTACGGCGTCGACCTCAACGGCTACACGCGCCACCCGGACAAGGGCCTGTGCGTGTGGATCCAACGACGCTCGCTGCAGAAGCCCACCTGGCCCGGCAAGCTAGACAACATGGTGAGCCGCGGGCTGCGAAACACACGCGCTCGGGGTCTTGGGGACGGGGCGGTCGGACGTAGGCGGATGATCCGCAGTACAGCCGGGCGCGCTCAATCAGGGTAGCCTTCAGTGGCCCTTGTGTTAATGACGGTGCGGCATGCTCGAGGGTGGTAGGAGCTGTTGTGGGCGCTTGCAGCACGCTCACGCCTGTCGCTCTCGACTCATTGTAGATACCTGAGCTGCGGTGTGGCAGCCACGCAGCCGATACGGGCCGGGCGCTGGGCAGCGGCAGTGCGAGTGCGGACATGCTGTGATGAGCGGCGGCGGTGACTGGCGGCGCGTGCTGTCCTGTCCAGGTGTCTGGCGGTCTGTCCTCTGGTCTGGGCCTGGTCGAGGCCATGCGGAAGGAGGCGTGGGAGGAGGCCGGCATCCCCGATCACCTGCTGTCCGGGCTGACCTCTACCGGAGCCGTGTCGTGAGTCAAGCTGGACAGTGGATCGTCGGTGTGCCAATAGGGGAGGGATGCTTCATATGAGCTAAACACCGAGGCGAAACTCTTGAGGGATCTTCAGCCTACGTCGTCCGGACTTGGATTGGCAGTCTTGACATCACATCCCCGCGTCAGCACTCAACGCTGAATTGGGATATCCCGCACGTTGCTGCGTCGATCCGAGCCTGACAATTCACTCTGCAAGACCCGCACAGGGTCACGGAGCTTGAGAGCCAGCACTGTAACGTGCTAGGGGAGCGGGAGGGGGCCCCCACGGGCCTAGCCCGTTGCGCGCGGCGCCAGCGGCAGTCTGACGGTGAGCTCCGCGCCGCAGCCTGTTCTACCGGAGCGAGCGCGGCCTGTTCCCCAACACCGAGTTTGTGTACGACCTGGAGCTGCCGGCCGACTTCGTGCCGCAGCCGCAGGACGGCGAGGTGGAGGAGTTCCGACTGGTGTCCGTACAGGTCAGTCTCAGTCTCAGTTTCAGTCTCAGCCGCGCCGCCCCCGGCCCTACGCCGCAGGTTCGCGTACAGCCGAGGCACCTCCACCTTCGCCAGCCACGCCTTCTGCTTCGACCTGGAGCTGCCGGCTGAGTTCGTGCCGCAGCCGCAGGACGGCGAGGCTGAGGAGTTTGTCCTGGTGACGCCGCAGGTCAGGGGAGCCAGGCCCCGGGGACGGCGCAGGTGATGCCGATAAGGGCGCCCGGGGTGGACAGGGTCGCGGAACGGCAGACAGGTGCCTGCACCCTGCCGGTCGTCGCGCGCAGAAAGCTGCTTTTAGCCGATTGGCCATGGGCGAATTACGATCGATTCACTGATCGGATGCCGTATTCATGCAGGAGCGTCTTCTGCTCCAGATGTGTCGCTTTCCGAACAAGGGATAGGTTGACATTCACGGCGCAGATGGCGATCGTGGCCACTGCGCCAGGTGTTGAGAGCCTGAGCCGAGCGCGTCACCCGGAGCGTGCCGCTGAGCGGAGCCCGCGCCGTCCGGCAGGAGCTGATGGAGCTGGTATGCAGTGCCGAGTTCAAGACCACCAGCGCGCCCGTCACGCTCGACTTCCTCGTGCGTCATGGCTTCATCACGCCCGACAACGGTGGGTCCCTCGGTCACCGCTGCCACCTGTCTTCCCCGCTTGGCTACGTGTGCGATCATTGTGACTACTGTTTTAGCCACCATGTGCCCTTCATTTTCGTTTGCGGCCCTCACCGGACGCCTGGAGGCCGAAACACGCCCAGTTTCTGCGTGGCGTGTTGCAAACCTGCGTCTGTTCGGCCGAATAGGGGCCATTCGGAGCTTGGGGAGGCATGGCCCTGTGCCCTCCCCCCCCTCTCTGGACCCGCCACTGACCATCCGTCCTAACCAACGTTCCCCGAGCAGGTCGGCACTTGTTCCACGCACGCGGGCGCTTCACGTGTCCCGCACGGCTGACGTGTCTCCTGTTGCAGAGCCCCACTACCTGGAGGTGTGTGAGCTGCTACACGTGCCGCTGCAGGTCGTCTACAACACGGGCCGGCTGTTTGGCGGCCTGCGGCCCGTCTGAGCGGTGTCCCGGCGACAGAGCGTCCCTCTTCCCTGCCCCGTCGCGAGCCGCAGGGGTGGCGACGAGCTGGATGTGACCGCACCGGCCGGCGGAACCGTCACCTCGGGTGGAGCACCGACACTGACGGGAGCGGTCGGCGCCGGCGGTGCTCAGAGGTGACCGCGCAGCTCCAGCGCCGCGCCACGCGCGTCATGCTCCGATGCCAGGATGCCCCTCAGGTGACCGCGTGGCCCCAGCGCCATGGCGTGTGATACTCTCCGACTGTTTGGTGTGGCGTCAGTATGAGGGGGCGTCTCCCGGTCCCGCCAGCCCCGGCAGGCGCGCTGGGTGGCTGTTGGGGAGCAGAGTGGGGACGCCCCGCGGGCGGGTGGGCACGGCCGTCCGCTCGAGGCGCGGGTCAGCGCTCGAACGAGCGGGGCGGGCGACCGACGCGAGCTGTTTGTTGCGTGGTGATGACCTCCGTCGGATCCGCCGGCTGGAACATCGCGCCGCCGGCCCGCCAGGGTCCCGGACGCGCCAGGCGAGCCGGGCGGCCCCGTGCTGGCGTGGCCGAAAATGATATCGGTGTTGAGCGAAGACTAGCTGACGGTCTCATGGCACGATGCGGGTTTTTAGAAGATGGGCAGTGGCTCCGTCGCGTAACGTCCTGAATGTTTTAGAACCTTCTCAGCACAGGCAGGGGTTTCGCCTTGAAGCGTGTTAAGCACGGCACTTCTCACGCCAGTGTGTTTTGTTCTGCGTGGATTTACTGCGGTCTTGTTGCATGCAGGATCACTTAATAAGAATATATTAGTCATTTTGCGCAGACGCATCTGTAGCCCACATGACTAAAGACGCCTTAAGTGACCCCAGCAACGAGTCCTGGGAGGAGAGAGCTCGACAGAACACCACCCGAGCCCACCTTGAGCGCCATTGAGCTCGCCCACCTGGCGGTATCACAGGTGCGTTATTAGGTCGCAGCTGGCGAACCGATCGGAAGCCTGCCCGTGTGTTGATAACACGCGTCTGCCAGCGGCTGTGTGCGGGCCGGAACTCGAGCGCGCATGAAAAGCTCAGCTGCACCGTCATCACCGCTCCGTTACTCTGGTCGGCCGCGGCGGGCGGTTTGTCGGAATCCTGACGCGACAGGGCGCAAACGAGTCGCCAGAGGTATCGTCTTTATTTCTTGTGCCGTGTTACATACGGGTCAAGTCAAGCTAGCATAAATATCCGTGTTAAAACCTCAGCACATTAAGCGGCGTTCCTAGCCGCCGGTCACACAGGCCAGCCGGGCTCCACTCCAAAAATACTTGCCGCGACGCCGCCGCCTAAAATCCCGCCGCGCTGGCAGTCACAGCGGCGACCGAACCCCACGCCCCGAGCCGGCGCGCCCGGCAGTGTTCGCGCCGAGATCGAATACCTTGAACCTGTGGCGATACCTTGTACGGGGTGTTCTGATTCGGACGGCACGCGACGATCGGCCCACGCCGGGGGGAGGGGAGGGGCAGCGGCGGCGGTGGGGACGCCTGCGGACCGGCAACGAACGGGACCAGCCCTGCACACCGCGCGGGGTCTACGTGAAAGACTGCGGCTCGCGCCTCGAAGGCCGAGGCGTCAATCATACCGACGACTAGCGAACTAAGCGATCAGGCGAGGGCGAAGTAAAACGCGGCGCTAATTTCTCTGGTTTGGCCGCGGGCGTGTAAAGTCGGGTAAAAGGGGTGTGGCCGCAGCCGGAGTGCGTCGCGTCGCGTCGCGTCGCGCCGCGCCGCTCTAGCGCTCCTCCAGCTCCGGCCGGCAGGGGAACACCTGCGTCACAGTGCCGATGCCGTAGCCGCGCGTGCGGCCCTGCCGGAACAGCAGCCGGTCGCCGACGCTGACGTACTCCGGCTGCCGGTAGAAGCGGAACAGCACGGACGCCTCCTGGTCGGGCCGCAGTAAGCCGCCGGGCGCGCACACGCCCTCGATCACGGCCGTCTGCCGCACACTGCCCATGTGCACCGTCGCCTGGAAGCGGCGGTGGATGGCCTGCGAGCCGAACAGCGCGCACACCGTCGCCTGCGGGCAGAGCCGGGGTCAGACGGCGCCGGGGGTCAGGGGGGGGAGGGGGAGGGGACATCGTCCGCGCCTCAGCGCTGGACTGCATCGCGTGTTTACGCTGGGATATCAACAACCTTTGTCCACGTCCCTGCCGCAGCACACTACCGAGCTCGATGTGAAGCAGGGCGTTTCTACGAAGGCGAGGCAGCATACGGGGCTGCATAGCAGTGAAGCCCCAGGAACGTGACGAGCATGCGTGCAGCCCGCGACCTGGTGGTGCACCACAGATGAACAAGCGAGCCCTACGGGCCGGGAGTCGGGCATGCCGCGACTAGCGTGTGTCGAGTCGCGCTGCGCCGCCGGGCTGTCTCTATTCATCGGACCAGAGCAGGTCCGCGCTCCCAGACTCATCGCCCCGATCTAAATTGCATTTCGCTCCACAAAGTCGGCACTCCCATAAGCCGACTACACCGATGGCAAATGCTACCAAACGACCCGCTGGAAAAAAACCCGATGATGACATGATATGTTAAGATGCTCTGCAGCCGTCCGCTACAGCTGCCACTGCAGCTACAGCGGCAGCGGACGGACATGGGCCCCAGACGTCGTCGGGCTGGCAGCCACGGACGGCAGCAGGGGGAGGTCGGTCGCCTACCTGGAAGTAGAGGCAGGCGGTGGGCCGACTCTGCGGCGCCAGCAGCACCATGCCGCGGCGCAGGCCGGCCACGTCGCGGTCGATGGCGAGAGCGGCCGCCTGGCCGGCGCGCACCACGCGACAGGGCCGCCGGTTCCGGTGGATCGAGGCGACGCGTACGGTCGTGAAGCTGCCGTCCTCCAACGGACCTGGCGGCGGCGGCGGCGGCGACGCGGTCACGCCAGGAGGCACCGACGCCTCTGACACGGGCCGGGCCACCGTGGTGCGGCAGGCGCGGGGGGAAGACGCCGCAACACACGCCGCGACCACGGCGGCGTGTGTAACAGGGCGGTTACACGTCTGTCTGTACGCGTGACAGGTGACAGTCGCTATTTAACCTCGAGCACGGGCTCGAGTGACAGTGAAACGCCACGGCATGCGACCAGCGGTGCCTAATGCACAATGGGCTGTGAACGCTCAAAAAATATGCTAAAAAAGAAGAGCGAGATGGCGTCAAAAAAGGTCTCGTAACACAGAGAAGACATTCTAGGACACCGCAGAAGTTATCCCAAGCCAAAACTGCGAATGTAGCTCCGCGCGGTCTCTACGTCGACACTCATGCGTTCCTCTGAGCACGCATCAACAAAAACGACGAGGCGCAGCTGTAGCACCACCCACACCACTGACCTAGACTGAGCCGCGCTCCTTCTGTGATGATGCCTTTGGTTAGAAGCCCGCCTACAACTACGCCTGTTTCTGATATCCGATAGGTCTCGTCAATCTGGAACTCGCATAGTTGCTGAAAACGAGACGGCCAGTCAGCGAAGGGCGTGACGCACCGCGCACGACAGCGGGCTAATCTTATCTGAGACATGCTATCACATGAGAATCCGAGCTCAGCAGCGCTCCCGCACTGAGTAATGCGGCCGTCGACGAACAAAGGCAGGCGATATAGTTCCGGGTGTGATATCTGAACGCAAAACCACCGGACTTCATTTCTTGACAAATGAAACAAAACAATGTTTTGTAAATAAACATGTTGGAAAACGCAGCTATCTATGTGCGCTGAGTGGTTGTGGTATTTGTACGCTGAAGTATTTCTGCAAAGCCGTGGTTTCGAAATGCGCACTAACGAGAACGAGGTAAATCACAAAGCACTTCGGTGCAGCATTCCCACCATCCCGTCACGGCGAAGTGACATAAAGGTTCGCAGCGCAAACAGCGATTGCGCCGCTTTTCTGCATCGGTTGTCCCTGAGAAGCTCGTGCTGGGATCATAACGTCATTTCGTCCTGCAGACCATAACAACTGTTTCGAAAACTGTCGTCTTCTGCAAACCGTTAACCGGAAGGCTGTTTCGGCAAACTGCTTCATCCGGGCGTCGGCCGGCGGTGCATGGCGCGACCTCGCCGCTGCCCCGGCCTGGCCCTCTGCCTGGCCCCACCGCCGCTGTCCCAGCCCTCGGTCCGGCCCCACCGCCGCCGCCCCTGCCTAGCCCGACCGCCGCTGTACACGGCAGCCTGGGAAGGAGCGGGGTCGTACCGCCCGGCCGGCCGGCGGCACGCACGCCGGCCGCACGAGAGCGGGCACGACCCTGACCCGGATAGGTCCCAGAGCGGGAGCGGGCGCCGAGCAAGGCGTCACGCACCGGTCGCGGCCGCAGCTCGGCCGCCAGGACGGCCGAGCTAAGTCACCGGCTCTCCGCTGCCGCCAGGACGGCCGGGCTAGTCTACCAGCCCCCCCGCTGCCGCCAGAACGGCCGAGCTACGTCACCAGCCAGCTGCTGCCGCCAGGACGGCCGAGCTACGCCACCGGCCCCCCGCTGCCGCCAGGACGGCCGAGCTACATCACCGGCCCCCGCTGGCGCCAGGACGGCCGAGCTACGCCACCGGCCCCCCGCTGCCGCCAGGACGGCCGAGCTACATCACCGGCCCCCGCTGGCGCCAGGACGGCCGAGCTACGCCACCTGTCCCCCGCTACCGTCAGGACGGCCGAGCTACGCCACCTGTCCCCCGCTACCGCCAGGACGGCCGAGTTACATCACCCGCCCCCGCTGGTGCCAGGACGGCCGAGCTACACCACCTGTCCCCCGCTGGTGCCAGGACGGACCTGCTCTAGCCGGCGCCGTTCGCTGGCGCCGGGGCTGGGGCTGAGCGCGTGCAGGTACTTCTTGAGCAGCGGCAGGCCGGCACCGCTGACCGAGCTGACGCTGAACACGGGCACCGTGGCGGCGTCGGCCTGGGCGGCGGCCGCCGCGCTCGCCTCGTCCACCACGCGCAGCGGCTCCTTGCCGCAGCCGGGCGCGCGCACCAGCGCCTCCAGCGCCTGCAGCGTGTGCCGCAACGTGGCCGCCGACGTCAGGTCGATCTTGGTGACGATGACGAACAGCGGCACCTGGGGCAGGGGGGACCTGAGACGCGGGACGGGGCGGGGTGACGGGAGAAACGAGCGCCAGGGGAGGGGGAGGGGCGTGCTAGCTCATCACGGGAACATCGTGCGACAAAATGGGTGGCAGAACAGTGGCACCTGGGGAAGGGTACGTTAGTGCATTGAGAGTGGGGACTGGGTGACGGGAAAAACGAGCGACAGGGGGAATAGCCTGCTACATCGCCGTAGAAAAATACGTGAGGCGCTGACCCCAACCAGACGTACACTCTTGGACACGAAAGAGGAGAAAAGAGGCATAAGCAGCCGCGTGTCATGCTATGCCATCCAAAGCTCCAGTAATGGCGCTGTTAGAAACCAATGAACACAATATTGTTTCCGCTGTTTATAACAAGCCACACACGGAGTTTGCATCCACAGAACATTGCGTGCATTGAACTCCTCTTCGGCCCCCTCACGACTTCCGCAAAGCCAGGGCTACCAAACTCGACCACAGCCCGTAAAAACCCGAGGGCCCCGCCCCCTCTCGCCCACCGCCACAAACACTTCAGCACGAGACGTTATCACGGGCCCGGCGGCCGAGGCGTACCTTGAGCGCCAGCGCCAGGTCCAGGTGCTCCTGCGTGGTGCCGGCGATGCCGCTGTTAGCCGACACCACCAGCATGGCGTGGTGCGGCGAGTAGCCCGTCAGACCGAACACGGTCGTCTTCAGGTACTTCTGGTGCCCGGCCAGGTCGATGAAGGTCACCAGCTTGGACGACTGCTCGCAGATCTCCTCCGCCGTTGGCGTCGCTGAGTAGTCGACCGTGTTGCCCTGGAGCGAGACCCCGCGTCAGTGGACGCTGGGGGGAGAGGGTGGGGGCGGACCCAGTCGACCATGTTGCCCTGGAGCGAGACCCCGCGTCAGTGGACGCTGGGGGAGAGGGTGGGGGCGGACCCAGTCGACCGTGTTGCTCTGGAGCGAGACCCCGCGCCAGTGGACGCTGGGGGAGAGGGTGGGGGCGGACCCAGTCGACCGTGTTGCTCTGGAGCGAGATCCCGCGTCAGTGTACGCTGGGGGGGGGGGTGGGGGCGGACCGAGAGTTGATTGTGTTTCTTTGCAGCAGCCCAGCCGGGCGCTAGTCCAAGTCGCCGACAGACGGGGGAGGGGGGGGGGGGGGGAGGAAGGCAAGAGCCAATCGCCCTACCCTGCACCAGTGGACCCTGGCAGCAGAACGGGGAAAGCCAAATAATGGTTGTGTTGCCCTGGAGGGAGGCCCCTGTTGGTGTTTAGGACGGACCGGACCGTGATATGGTACTAACAACTACCGTGCCGCGACGCTAATACAGAAACCACGCAATGCGCCGATTGTGACGAATTTAGCAACAGTGCCTTCAGCACAAAGCAGCGTGCCTTTTCGGAGCCAGTCTGAATAACTTGCCAAAAATATCCACCGCCACAATGGTTAACTGCAAAGGAACTCAGCCCGACGGAAAGGCAGATGTTATCACGGCGGCGCGCGTGGTAAGAATGGCCGGACTATGGGAAAAGTTTTCGCAGACGCGATCCCCGATGCTGATTTAGGCTTTGGCGCGCACCGATCACAATGGCCATGTGGTGCCCATGACGCAATCCACCCCAACACGTCGCCGCGTCTCGACACAAACCGCGGCCGAAAACCCGTCCGAGCGAGCGATTTCCAGCCCCGCCTCACATCGCTGCCAGCCGACCTTCGACAAGGCCGCGGCGCCTGCGAGCCCGTCTTGGCGCGCCGGCGGCCCGCTGTGGCTGGGCCGGCGGCCGCAGCGGCTCACAGCTGGGCTGGCGCCAACTGTTCGGCGGCGGCGGTGACGGCGGCCGGGTGGGCCGGGCGGCGCGGACGGGCCAGAGACGGGAGTGAGCGGCCGCGCCGGCCGGGCAGACGGCCAGGCGCGTCGGACCAGGCTCATGTGACGCGGCCGCCGCCAGCAACCTTGACCGTCGACGGCGGTCGCGGCTGTCGCCCGGCGCACCAGTGACAGCGCACGGGCCGAGGTCAACAGACCGGCGCACCGGCGCGTTCAGTCGGGGACCGCGAGCCAAGTGTGGACAGTCGTCCACGCTCTGGCCGCCTCACGACCGCAGTGTACGGTGCGACCGCATGAGCAATTACAGGCATTTTGGCCTGCCACAAAAAAAAGACAAGGAGTAGGACGGGAAATGTGGTAAGCCGCTCCCGTTTAGCTTAAGTCTTACCTCAAAACCATGAAAAAGCTAAGAAAACTCTGACCGTTTTACGCAGCACATATTTGCGATTGGGATGCCCGCAGGAGACAAGATCCCCACCACGAGCCTGTCTTTCCTTTCCCTGTCCTCCATTACTGTAGAGCAGTGAAACATTCTGGGGCCTTGCATGACCAACAACGCTCCTTGGCTGCGTGCGCTGCAAAGCTGCATGGCAGGACACGCAGAGCAGCAACCGTTACTGAACAGCAAAACAAAACTGGGTCAATTAGGCACCGGTCTCAAGCATGCTCCTTTCAAACTGATCAATCCCAAGGCCCTCGGCACCCCGCGCACCTCTCTGGAGAGGCCCACAGCGGGCTCGGCCTCGTCCAGACGCCTCGCGTCGCGGCGTCCGTGACACACCATCCCCTTCCCCTCCCTCTCCGACAAGCCCGATCACGTCAGGGCCGCCGCCGGCCGCCTATCGTCCGGCGGCAGCGCGCGCCGTTAGCCGGCCGTCACCCTGTCCGGGAGGGGGGGGGGGGGGGACCGGCTGCGAGTGCCGACCTGCTCGCGCGGGCATTATCGTCGCACCGTACGACCGCGCGTGGGAAGTGTCGTCGGCGCGCCGCAGCCTGCGGTCGATAGGACCACTGACCCGGCGGGCGCCGCCCCCCCCCCCCCCCCCTGTCGTTCGCAGCCCCGGGCGCGGACGACTCCCGATGAGAGGCAGGCCGCGCGCGCCGGCGGTCCGCTTGACGCGCGCCTCCATTCGTGTACCGTGCCGAGGCGAGCTGCCCCTCGCCAATGCACGTTACCGAGTGGCCGGGCACGCGGGCGGCCCAATCACAGGGCCGTCCCCGCCCCCCAGCGGTGGCTCACCTCCGAGTCGAAGCCCAGGATCTCGTGGCTGATGCTGGAGGTGCGTCCGGTGCGGATCTCGTGCAGGTGCCGCAGCATGTTGAGCCGCGACCGGCCGCGCCCGTTGTCCAGCTGGCCGTGGGTGAGCACGCCCAGCAGCGTCGACTTGCCCACGTCAGCGTTTCCCAGGACGGCCAGACGCAGGTCAATGCTGTGGCGGTCGTCGGGCACCTGGCGCACACAAAAAGAGCAGACTTGTGAGGTTGTGCGGCGTCTTTGATGTCTGCGGCTTATTTAGAGATATCGTTTTATTATTTATATCAAGAGTACCGAACAGCAGTAACGATTTATCATACGCTGCCCCAGGAACAAAGTTTACGCCACGAAGGGCTGCCTACACGAACCATGACCGCACCATCATCACCATCATGACCACCGTAACAATCGAATGTCCACATGGCCATTTATCAGCGACCTTGCAGCCAAACATGCCCATAGAGCATTGTCATGTCAGGCAGCGTCACGACCCGGCCGCCCACGCTCTCCGTGACCTTCTCTCGCGAGCAGAGGACACAGCGCTTGTAGACGGCCCCGCCCAGCGCTGCTGCACATGAGATCACGGCGGCCGGTCGCGCCGCTGCAGCCCGCACGAGCGGACGGTCGGCTCCGTCCGAGGGTCGCCGGGTTAGTCAAGCCGCATCAGCTGACGGATGGGGAGCGGCGCGGCAGTTTCCCGCAGTCGCCGGGAGCGCGCGCCACGAAAGGGAGCAGGCAGCTCAACGTGAAACCCACGGCGAGAGGCACAGAGAGCATTCGTTGTCGCGGCCCCACGCCAAGGTCGCGCATTTCACTTTCAGTGCAGTGCACGCATCAGCACAGCGCGCCTTCAAGCCGACCGCTCGGCTCGGTTATTAGCGTTACCAGCAAGGACGCCAGCACTGCGCCCGACGCCGACTCGGCAAACGGCAGTCACCGCGTCAGGCGCCGGTGACGGCGTGCCCAGTGACCTGACAGCCGCGTCACGCCGAGCCCAGCAGCGGCGGCGTCACGAGACCGACCGCCCGACCACTGAGACACGACCCCGCCCCATTGCTGTCGGATACCGAGCCGGTCCGGCGGACCTCGAGCACCACCGCCGCGCCCCTGACTGGGCCATCAGCAGCCGGGCGGCGAGCGAACGGGCTCGGCAGGCGGAGTGGTCCGCAATGCTCATAAGTATATTTCTTCCGAAGGCGGCAGGGACATATACATACCGTGTTAAGACGGTGCCAAACTATCTAAAGTGAAAGGAGTCCTGAACCGACCATGCTACCGCCTTGAAACTCATGCACACACGTTTAACTTTACACTGCAGATGGGGCGACGCCCACGGTCATGACAAACCACACGGCCGGTTGTTATCGTGTCTACATGGCCGTGACGGGTCCGGACACGATCGGCGCGGCAGGGATTCACAACCGGTTTGACGGCTTTGTCCCACGCTGTAGCCGGCATATCAACAAAGGCGCAATCACGACAGGTCAACGCTACCCGAGCCGGACATGCAGCCTGTCCTAGACTGCGCCTCATCATGAGGATCACGCAGTCTCAGGCCCTGTGTGAAGTGAGTAACCGCAGTGACCCCGACACGCGCCTGACCAGTCGCCTGGCCATTCCTCTGGTCACTTAGAAGTGATGTGTGTAGAAAAGTGACGTCCTCAGCGCTCCGGGGACACCAGTGAAGATCGGCGGTGTCACTGACGACGCCTTCAACACGAGCTAGTTTATTTCGTTGGCTTTCGCCAGTTTTTTTTTTGATTTTACACTTACCTGCAACACCTGCGTAACCACCCCTGCGCAGCAGCTCAACATTCCCATGCACTGCAAGTCATCAATTTAAAGAATTTTCCAGACCCCGCAAATTTCAGCATCCATTGCTAAGTAGTCGCCATAGCGCAGTAGCAAACTCGACGTCCATACAGCCGCGAGGTCGCCGTTTTTTAGCTAACACACTTTCCTACTACACCTGTGCAACTCCTCATGCGCAGCAGCTCAATATCGCCATGCGCCGCAACTCCACAATTTCCAGATTTTTCCAGACCCGGCACTTCCAGTACCCATCACCGTGAAGTCGCCGTAGCGCAGTCGGGAAGGCGACGTCAACATAGCCGCGAGGTCGAGCGATCGATCCCCGGTTGCCACTGGTTCTATGCCGGCCCCTAACGTTTTTTTTTTTTTTAACTAGGAAATGACCGACGCTGCCAACGAGACAAATGCTCGAAGGCAGCACCAGTCATTTCCTAGAAGAAAAAAAAACCCGCAAGGGACCGGCATAAAACAAAAGGCACCCGGGACCCTATTGCTCGGCATCGCGTTACCGACTGTCCATCAAAACTAACAGCTAAAAACAAATGCAATTATTTTAAATCCGCTTCCTATACTTAGTCACACGCGTCTTCTTTTCGATGGTTCGACTGACCAGACCTAGTTTTTGACACCACCAGAAGCTCACAGAAGTCATGGGGAATATTCGGCACCGAATGACAAGCCGCTTCTGAGTGGCCGCTTCCAGAGTCGGAGCGGCACTTCTGATGAGGCGAGAGTGCATGACCACAGCCGCTCAGTACCCAGCGTCTCTCAGTATCCCATCCACAAAGGCTTGTGAAGCCCTCTGACTTTTTTGGGCGGATGAACGCCAGCGGTGTGTAAGCAGCCTGAACGGCGACCCCGCTCGCAACATAACTGGAAGCATTGATGCCACATTGATGGAATGCGTGTGACTGTGGTTCATATGCTTGTTTTTGAGTACACTCGCCAATCAAATATGTACACGCCGTATCTTCATGTGACATACAGAGCCAACCTGCAAATTGGAAAACTACCTAGGATATTTCCAACTTGCTTTCAGACCGCGAACGGGACTCCCACAGGCCCTCCCGGACGAAAGACCTTGAGTCTCCTGAACCATGGCCCACGAGTCTGCCTACAAACTTCTGACCAGAGCCTTCTATCTCCCTTCCGAGCCTTTGGATTCATTCGCCAGACAGTTTGGTTGTTTGCCAGTCTGGGCTATTTATGTCAAATGAGGTGGTCCCACCAGATAGCAAGCAGAGACCATGTGGGATCAGCTCACAAATGGTAACCCAGCCATCAATGGCACCTCTGTCATATCAGATCTTATAACTGAAACTGATGACTTGCAGAAGTTATGCACACCTAGCAAGGAGACAGACCTGCCTCTGAAGAGATGCCCTGACTCTGACCTTACATGATAGTGACCATTGTTGACATAGTATGGTTTCAAAGTGCATTTACATGTTCAGTTCAGTGTAATTTACACCAATCATCACTGGTTCTAAAGGATAAAACAGTAAGGAAGCCATATGTGTCAGTTCAAAAAATTATTATCTTCATGCATTTTCAATACTCCATCAGACATGTGAATATGTTAATTGTCAACCTAAAGATTCGTTTGTGAGATTGATTTAAGCCATGTAAAGACCATAACCTAATGATGTACTCAAACAATTGACCTATCACTTCTCCAGTTTCCTATCACTTCCATTTAAAATGCCTCCAATCTGATAATTGGAACAGGAGATGGCAGACTGCATGCTAGCCCTCCTCTCAGACAATCTGATAACTGGAGCAGGAGATGGCAGACTGCATGCTAGCCCTCCTCCCAGACAATCCTAGTTGGCAGCATACCTCACATGGTGCCAAGCTAAAAGAACACAGACTCAAAGTTCTGCCTTGTGAACCAAGGTCCAGGACTCAGTAGGAGTGCATCCTTCCAACTGTCCATGCCCGTTTCCAGCGCCTGCCTGGCCGCGCTGACCAGGACCGAGAGGCGGCGCCGGCCGAGACCCGGCCACCAAGCACAACTGACCTTCCTGACGAGCACCTCCGAGACGCGCCGCTCGTCGGCAGAGCCGGCTGCCAGGCGGCGCTCGCGCAGCACGGTGACGGCGGCGCCCAGCTCGGCCGCCATCCGGTGCAGGGTGGTGAGTGAGGCCGTCATCTCGGCCGGCTCCAGGCCCGGCATCAGGCCGTTGTCCTCCACGCCGATCTCATAGATGGCCTCTCCCTGGCCCTCGCGCAGCCGCCACTTCATCTGCGCAGAGACAGTGGAGGTGGGGGGTGGTGCTCGGGGCAGCAAGAGGGAGGGTTTGACAATGTAATGGGCTGTCAGCTCAGGTACAGAGAAAGCTATCCAGCAGAAGGGCACAGGATGATCAAATGGCATGCCAACATGTGTGTGGTGTCTGCAATCCTTAAATGTTGTTTGAGTGCACAGTATCCTCAACGAATCTTTACTGTTCTAAGTTACGTTGCGTGACAACATCCATCCACCAATCACTGCAACACACCTGCGTGACCAGATGCTGGAAGCGGTGTTTGGAGGGGCTGACCAGCTTCAGCTTGTACTCGATGTTACCCAGCTGCGGCTCAGGGGGCAGCTGGTCCGGCATCTGGTCCAGCTCGCTGCCACATGACTCCGGGCTGGACGACTCGGGGCTGGACAGCTCCGGGCTGGAGGAGTCCAGTGTTGAGCTTGAGTTGGACGCAATGTCATCTGAGTCCTCTAGTGGATCAAACAGGCCGAGGAAGTCCATGGTGGGATGGCCTGTGGAAGACAGAGGGGCACAGTAGTACTGCTTGGTCTTAGACTCATGCAAATAGACACAGCCTATTTTATGGGCCTAAGGCCTACACCTATCATTCCCTACCCTCTGATGCACACATCTGTAATTTGCTTTGGTGCCAGACATAGGGATGAGGCAAGGCTTCTGGCTTTGAACCCAAAACCAAAGCCAGTGTCTTTGTACATAGCAACTGCAGAGAAAAAGCCAGGCTACCATCAGTTCTAAGCCCCAAGGCAGAAGCTGATGACAAATCTAGTGTACAACATTGTCTTGTGCAGACAAAGCCATTCTTACATGTGCTGAAACTACACAGGATCAGGAAACACCACCAAGGCTTTGCAGTGACTGAGACATTACAGAAGGAACAGCTGTTAGCAAGCAGTACAGATGGCTCATTTTTAGTACTGTCACCTATTTATTCTGTGTCAGTATGTCAGCAACCTTTTGGACAGTTAGTTATCCAGATGTCCTCAGGTTTGAATAGGATCTAAGAAAATGTTCTGGCTTTTAGTCAGTTGTGCCCACAGCCCTAAAAATGTGTGTGTGGCATGCTAACAGGACTGGCAGGGCTGCTTTTGTGAAATAAAGCTGCACCAGCAATGAAAAAGTCAACATGACAAAGCCAAAACTGCAAGTTTGCTTGCGGCTGGGGACATAATCATATTTCAAAACTTATTAAAAGCCAAAGCCTGCTGTTAAAAATGTCAGAAGGCCTAAACAGAAGCCAAAACCCAAGCTGATGGTTTGCAACATTACAAAACTGAAGTTGAAGCCAAGGCCATCCATGTAAAATGCTTTAAGGCCAATGGAATGGCACGGGTGAAACAGCTCAAAAGCCAAAGCCAAAGCAAGTGAGAGAAAACTGCAGCTTGTAAAGACAAAGATCACTGTGTCCCAATACCTTTTTAGCAACACAGATGGCTCATTACAGAAACTGAAAAAAGCATGAGCTCTTATTGAGCTCTGCTGTCATCCACCCCAGGAAACCCTGGCTGCATCCCCACCATCTCACCATAAATCTGAGTAAAATAAAAATAAATAAATTTGCTATCCATATTTTCAGGGTTGCTTTCCCAATCTCTGTTAAAATTAAGTGCCTACCGGAGCAGGCACTTATCTATTTCAATACTGCTTTCTACAGTTCCTACTTATCCACACAAGTGGATATACTCCCATATCAAAGCAAATTATAACAGCAACACCAGAACAAGTGTTTACATATATATTGGCCAGTCTGCAATCATTACTGTTGCAGTCCTTAACCACAAACATTACCTTCCTAACAATTAAACACAACTGCTAACCTCTAGTCAATGTATAACCACTCAAAGTAAGAGGTGAAGATGCATTACACTCACAAAAGAAATTAAACAAGTACTGGTACATTCCTCACCTTTGGTTTCTGTCTTAAGTCCTTAATACATAAATCAGCAATGGGCTACACACCATACACAAATGAGACACAGGCTACATACAATTCAATCAAGATTCAGGTCACCTTTCTGTTGTACTTACCCACTCAACAGAAATATATCCAGCCACTTTTGCTTGCTGATACACCAGAGACTTGTTCCAAAACAAGGTCACACAAGAATGTTCACTATCAATGTCAATATTGCACCCTACCAGCATGCTGGTCAGCTACATTCTGGACGAATTTACAAAGTTAGTCACCTATCAGTTCAGGCTCAGATAAAGAATGTTGAAAGGTGGTGCAACAGCTGTGGGGTTCCCCCGCCAAAATTGGGCAGTATGATGCAACACAAAAATATTGCACAACACAGCACAAGAATTTAGTAAGGCCAGACCAGGCCAGTCGATTACGCCGAAGAACAAGTCTTTGTTTGTAAACAGAAAAGTCAGCTGAGTCGTCTGAGCAACGGAATGCGAAGCGCCCATGGCACCATCCACAAACCAGATCCACGAATACTTCTCTGGCCAAAGAAGCTGGCTTCACCATCACCAACTTACTACTCACTATTTTGGTGTATCCTTAGGATAATAATACCCACAAGGACATGACCGGCAGGGCCTGAAACAGCAGGGGCACAAACAACAGCCTCACACGGACACCAGCCCCCGGGCAGGTTAACATCAGCCCAAACTGGCGCAAGCGGCTGACCTTGAAGTTTACCAGTCACCACCAGCCGTTGGCAAGCGATCGTAGGTACCGAACCGAAATATATTTATTTATATGACGTCATACTTACGGTTCGCTGCCTTACAACGTTGGATAGCCCTACAACGCGCTTAGCATTGATCAAGCTCTAAAAGCTGGGATATTAGGCATTAAATCTGTTGCTGTACAGGTAATAAAACTACCCGATGCAAGCTATGCAAGTTAAGTCTGACTGTAAGTACCTTTTCGGGAGGATAATGGTGAAAATATGCTTCTCTGCCCGTACCTGATGACGTCATATGAAATACAGACGATCATGGATGAAGTGCTTTTCTGGCACAAGCACAGATCTTTTGCTCGTACGGTCAAGAGTAAAATCGTGTTGTCACGTAGTACTACGGTTTGTTATGAAAATAGTGGGCTTCGCTTGGACGGAGTAGCAGTACGACGCACCGCAACTTATTGCCGCCAAGTGGTGCAGTTCCCTATTCAGTTGCGAAGTGGGGCCATGGCCCCCTAATTTTGAGGAGGAAGTGGGTGAAAGTAAGGAAGAAACCCAGTTTTGTGCATTTTCCCATCCAGCATGTCCGAATAGGACCAATGTGAGTCCGAGATGGGTAGCCATAGGGGGGGGGGGGGGGGGGAGGGAATCTGGGCTGCCCACTTCGTTCTCTTGAAGGCATATCATGGGGAAACGACTGGGTCCCAGATGGGCAGCCCACCTGGACCCATGTGGAGTATAACTGGGACCTACATAGGGCCCAGTTGAGACCCACGTGGGCATGTCCAACCTGGGTCCCACATGGACAGCTCACCTGGGGAACGCGTGGTGCCTTACCGTCACCCACATTGGACCACCTGTGCTGCCCAGTTGAGACCCACGTGAGCATGTTCAGCTGGGACCCATATGTCCAGCCCGGATAGACCCCCCCAAAAAAAACTAGATGTGACCCATTTAGCCATCCAAATTGGGTCCCAGTTGGGCTTCACCGATCTGCCCTCTCAAATTCCATCTTATTGATGAACTGACATAATTCTAAATAAACAATAAATCAGGTCAAGGTTTGTTCACAAGTATTGTCCGGCATTGGCTCGGCAACATCAACGTTTTACAGAGCGTATGCTTCTCTGATGTTTGATGCAGCGATCACTAAATCGTTGAACGGACATCCTGCGGCGTTACCATTGCTGCCGTTGCTAGCGCGTTGTTCCCTGCTGTCGTTGCAGCCTCACCTGACGAAACCATCTGCCTAGTACCTTCGCTTCGTTGCGAGAGAAAACGTGGCTCGCTGTGATGTGCAGGATGGGCCCTGAAAATAGTGACATTCCATTCATAACCTCGGATCTCCGCCCCATGTCTTGTGTGCGGAAGCTGATTCATGTAGGGGAAAGCGGAGCAAGACGGACACTTTAACGGCTTTTATTTTGGAAGTTCATAAGTCTGTCCAGAGAGTCTTAAGCAGGCGGATATTGAATGCTGATCAACTGTCTATCTCTTTAAAAGCGCTCGTTTGATATATTCATGTTAAAGTGGGATCCTCCTAAATATCATGCAACGTTTTTCCTCATTTTGCCCCTGGCTTGGGGCAAAACGAAGCAGTATTCGGGGCAAAACGAACAAGTGATGAGATTAAAAAAGCCAAATAGACATTTTCAAAGTTATCATTTTTTAATGAGAACTCATCAATAAATGCGTTGTTCGGTAAGTAGGTATTTATCTGGACATCCAATGCCTATGTTTCTTGTGTTTGGTGCCATATTTTGTTCGGACCATCCCACTCCATACTCGTTTCCTCAGTATGATCCCACGAATACAAGTTACAATGGCCAGCAAATGTGTATTATAGCTTGGTATGAAGCGACAGCCATTGCTGTATGGCTTGAACACAGAACTAGAGGAACACAGCCTGGTGGTTACACAATGAGACAACATTGTGTCTCAATGATCGACAACGACAACGATCGACAACGATCGAGTCTCAAACACACAAGTCATCGAGCAAAGTTCGCTCAGGAACACTCACTCGTTCTTCTCATCAATCCACTTATTAGGCACTGTGAACGCAAAACGTGAAAAAAGCACAGCTTAGTGGACCCGTCAGCAGGTACGACCTATGGCGAAACTAGACAGCAGCCTGCCGGGTCATCCCGGCACAGTTCGCACACGAACACACACTCGTCCTCTTCATCAATCCCTGCACAGGCATCAGGCAATCCCCGCACAGGCAATCCCTGCACAGGCGCCCATTTATCGCAGAGAGCACATCGCGACCAAGACTCACCCGATTTGGACATGGAGAAGAAGGACCTGCGGTACAGACAAGCTACATCGTCTTCGTCCGAGGACTCCTCAAAGGTAAGCTTTCGCGGCGTACGCTTCTTTTGTTTGCACAGCGGTTTCTGAGTTTCTACGCCCTTCCTTTTTCTTCCTTTAGACTGACTTCGGTCGTTATTTTTCTGTCCTCCCTGTCTACCTTCTTTTTCTTCGAGTCTCTTCTCGAGTTTCTCCTTGTATGGTGTGCCAGTCAAGACACATGTTCTACCTTTCTTTCGTCATTTACCTCTCTCCTCTCTTGAGTGCACTTTTAGCACGGGAAGGATTTCGCGGGGGGACACATAGGAGCTTGCGAGTGTGTCATTTTGACCTTGGGAAGCATGGCTCGGTCCAGCTGAGCATGACACTTCTAGAACGTCATCTTCGTCATCGCTAGAGCTTGAGAAATCATCTGGCAGAGCCCCAGCGGTGAGCAACTTCGCCGGAGTTTCGGCATTAGTAGAGCTCCCTGCCCTGATACTCCAGCCTGCGTTGCGTCTCCGGCGACAGTTTCCGAGGACTCCCGAACGTTCGTGCTCACCGAGACATCAACGTCAGAGGGCCCGGGCATGGGCAGAGGAGCGGCCGCCGAGTTGAGACCCACTAGTGCGTCTGCGGTGCCGTTCAGCGGAATGTTCGTTGTTTCTGCCGCTGCGAAGTCTTCTTCGCCAAACACATGGCGGTTTGTGGGAAAGATCCCCGCGACTTCGAAGCCCTTCAACGCCGTCTTCACTGTTGCCGCCTGCACGTGGGCTGACCCAATCAGCTCCCCCATCTCTGCCAGTGTAATGACTTTACCAGGGTTGTTTCGGTTCTCGGTTGCCACGTTCTCTGACCTTGGAAGAAGAAGGTGCTGGCGGGAAGCATGAACGTCCTTTCCAGTGGTTGAAGGCGGTGTGAGGTGTGCGGAGGAATGGTGAGCATCACCACACCTGTTTCCATGCACAGCAGGATGGCTGCGAGGCTCTAGGTGTGGCTGGCATGTCCATCCAGTATGAGAAGGACTGGATCCTGTTTCGAGGGCTTCGCGTGCTGTATGAAATGGTCAAGTCATTTCACGAACAGCTCCTTCTGCATCCAACCAGACTCATGGTACAGCACCAGACTACCTGGGGGAAAACCCTTCTCTAACTGCTGGTTGGCCCTCTTTCTTGGGAATATCACACCTGGAGGTATGTAGCTCCCCGCAGCGTTGGTACACATCACCCCGGCAACCAGCGTGCCTCGTTCCGCAGACGTCAGTTGGCCGACCTGCCTGCACCCTTTCCTCGCCAGCACCTTCTCTCGTTTTGTTGCGACCGTGTTGAATCCCGTTTCATCCATGTTGTAGATGCGTGTGGGACCGAACTGGGCAGAATCCATCTGCGGCTCAAGGTTGTCGAAGAACGCGTTGACATTGACTGAGTTGAACGCCGCGGCGCGAGCAACGCTTGTGGCCTCTGGTGTCCCTAGTGAGACCGTGGGGTTCCTCTTGCGGAAGCACCGTATCCACGCCTCCCCTGCCATCTTCGTCACCGTGTTGAATGGGTGGGTGATTTTGTTTCTGTTTGTGAACTCATATGCGAGCTTCTTGAGGTCAGCCAGCGTTATTCCGAACATCCGGTTTTGGAGCTCCATTATGTGCTGTACCAAATCTCGCTCCTGAGCTTCCGTGAAAACAGGTTTGTGTCGTCCCAGGACCTTCTCTGTGGTCTCTGTTAACGACATTGGCCGTGCCTTTTTCAGCCGTCTGTCGAGAGTCCACTTCGGGACCAGAGAGCGGCGTGCCGCTTCTTTGATGGACATTTTTCCACCTTGACTGCTTTGATGACCTTTGCCATCGTATCCTGCTTCCAGGATTGCCGATCGGTTTTTCTTTTGTAATTTCGAACCATTCTCCGCCTGGCGAAGTAGTTCCTCTGCAAAAAAAGAACGTCAGCGTGAACGTTGAACGGATTTGGGAGGGTTATTTGCCCCTTGAGCCCCCGCCCCCTTCCCCACCCCTCCCTGGACCCGTCAGTGTACCTATATTCCTTTTTATGAACTAGGAAAACGTTTACCTGCTATGAAAAATTAAGTACAATTATCAAAGCGAAATACCTAACTGCATGCCCATAACTAGTTGGCAACAGGGCATTTCATTTTTTGTGTTAAATTAGTTACATTTAATATTAAGGGCGATATGATAAAACACCTTCTGTGTAATACTATACAATAAGTCAGTCCTTATGTTTAAGGAACAAGAAGCCGTTGAACTATTTAATAATTTAAAAACAAAACATTGAATGGTATATGTTTATAGGGAATGCAAGGCTTTTTCCCATTGTATTGGGGTTAGTAGCGTTTCTGGGCACAACATGATAAATAAACATTAAAACTTGCTATAATTTGCTGGGTCTTGCTCATTAGCAGAGAAAGAAAACTTGAATTTTTTTTTTTTACGCCAGTTCTGTCAGAATACCT